GAATTTGCTACGACATCCTGTGTCATGATAAAAGGGTTGCGGATGCAGCAGATTCGCTTTACAGTGTTTGTACAATTCTAACGCACCCCCGGTTCTAACGCGCAGGCAGATTTAGCTATCAGATATTCAAAAAGCAAATTGTGCCCGATTCTACCGCATAGGTAAAATAATGAAGATTGAACACATACCTCATAGAACAGATTTTATGAAACAAACGCCAACACAAAAATAAATGTTGTGCACTAGTCGCCGTTGTCAGAGTCTGACGATGGTTCTTCGCTATCCACAGAGGTGATCCCTGCTTTCAACCAGAGTGTTTTAAGTGCCGTGCTTCTTGTGTATGTACAAGTGCGCGACCGTCGCCTTTGGCAGGGTCGTCTTCCAAACAACACTTTGCGAGCTCAACAGGTTGCTGGGATTGCGAGGCCATGCAGTGCTGCTCCGCTGTTATCTTTAACACCAGCATGACGGCTTTCATTTAAATAAAGCCTTCCAGTAGATTCTTTTCCCCATCTTAAAACGGCAGACACGAGTTCTCGAGTTTCGGTTTTTGGTTTCGATTGTAACGCGCATGTAGTTTTGGGCACCGATTTTGGCGAAAAGAAGTGTGCGTCAGAACCGTGCAAACAGTACAAGGTGCGAACTCGTATGTTATGGGGGCCGATGCCGCAAATCGCGGATGCAGCAGATTTGCATTTCACGGAGCAACAAGCATTCAAGACAACTCATGTGTCATGGGAACCGATATTGCGTGCGCAGATCGTGGACAAAAAGCGCGGAAACGGACTATGAATGCGCATGCCACGGGAACAAATACCACGAATCGCGGACACAGCAGACTCGCATTTTACGATGCAATAAACACGTGGGATCGACTTGCAAGTAACATGAACCAATAGGACACGTGCAGATCACGGACAAAAACGCGTGAACCCGCTAAAAACTCCCTTGTCAGACATACCGGTTCCGCAGATCGAGCATTTAGTGTGATTTGTCGGACATTGCGTGATGTCCGACGAGAATAGGGGGTGGGCAATATTCCGGAATTTTTACGTTTTAGATATTCAGCCAGAAAAACGGGATAGGCGATCTCACGGGGGAGGGCGCCCTTACGGGATTTTACAGTAGTAGCAGCTGAACATAAAAGAAGGATTAGAGAGAGAGAGAGAGAGCTAAAAAGGCATACACACCGCTAGACTAGATCGGTTTAAGCAGATCATCTTTTTTACAGCAGAGCTGTTAAGGGCTAGGTTCCCCAGGATCGTGTCCGGTATGTCGACACAAACCTACCTGGACAGCTACCGCCATCTATAAGCGACGGCGGCAAGCACACTACCAGTCTGGTTACCGCCGTTACTCATAGATGGCGGCAACCTTTCCAGCTATCATGGAAGAATGGATAGTTGGGCGTGTTGGTCAAAATTCATTGTAGGAAACAGCGCGAAAAACAGACGACGACGAAGAAGAAGCACACGTAACAAGCGCAGCGCTCGTCACGTGTGTTTCTTCTTCTTGGTCTATTTTGCGCACTGTTTCCTACGCTCTTATCAGTTTTGGTTTGGACACAGGATGGGTCGGCCGCGCGCCCTTTCGGGGAAAGGAGACTGACTGCGGAAGGAGCGGCGACGTATGCAGCAGCGCGAATGGGTCTGCAACCGCCGCAAAGCCGCTGTCGCCTTGACTTCCACTGCATCCAGCGCTTCAGATTTCCTTGCCAAAGAAGAGCACATCGCTCGCCTGGAAAGCCGCCGCCGAGAACAGTACCAGCGATGTAAAGGGCGCCGGTGGGCCAACGCCACGGACGACGATCGTGCCATGGAGGCAAAGCACAAACGCGAGGCCTGGCGACGACTGCACTCCACGCCGGCTGAACAGTTCCCGGGTGCGACGGCGAGGTTCCGGAGGGAGTTTGTGGAGAACCCGATCGGCGGCATGTTGGACGAGAAGTGCGAAACGGGCGCGTTGCGGCAGTGTATCAAATACAGCTCCGCTGGTCTTCCTTCTTCACAAGAGTGAAAAGGCTGAACGCTTCTTCATGTACATTAAGTTTCACTCCCTCTTTTCCTTTATCTACATTGCATTTAGTTTAATAAAATAACTTTTTCCTTCTCTCCTAGTCTTATAACCGAGCATCTTCATCGTCTTTCATTTGTCTGCCATGGATGCGGCCCCTCTACGATACGCAACTTCCTTGTGGTGTAGCGTGATGGAAGGCGCACTCACACACTTGTCCGCCTTTGCATCAATAGCAAGGGCCTCCAGGATTTCTCGAGCAAACCTGTGGCGGTTTCTTGCCAGGATGTTTAGGCTATAAAACTCTAGTACACACTGACACATAACACAATGGGCAGGTAGGTGCCCTGCTGCTGTAGCGGCCTTCACCGAAACTGCATGTTACTGTTATATTCCTGGCCAGCATGTAGTGCCACAAGGTCCCCTGGTGGCCTAGTGTGACGATGACTGGAAGTGCGGCGCTTTATATTAAACAGGGGGCCACCCGGCTCCCTCAGTTAGTGTTGTGTTGGAACCGAACTGCGTTTGTCATGCTTCCGCTTCTTGCCGCCGACGAACGTTGGCCGGTGCGAAGCGAGTTCGGTTTACACTTGTAACAGTGGCGACGAGGATGGGATTGCTGAGTGCTGATAAGCCAGTTCCTGTCCACGCGTCGCCTCAGCTTGTCAGGTGGACTCTCAAGCTTTCAGCGTACAAGTACCAGCTGATCTACAAACCAGGAAGGAATTTAGGTCATGCTGACGCACTCGGTAGACTTCCATTACCTGGGAGCAACGTTGAAAAGAACATGCCGGCTGACGTCTTCATGCTACAGCACGCATATCCGAATCTTCTTTCACCCTCCGTTGTGGCCCAAGCCACAAAGAATGACCCTGTTCTGGGACATGTTGTTCTCGCTGTTCTCAAAGGAGAGGACCTTGCACTAGCATCAGAACAGAGGCCTTTTTGTGCAAGGAGTTCAGAGCTTAGCCTGCATGAGGGTTGTTTGCTCTGGGGAGCACGCGTGGTGATCCCAAAAGTGCTGCAGGCTCGAGTCCTGGATCTGCTTCATTCAAGCCACCCAGGCATCGAGAAGAGCAAAATGATAGCCAGAAGTCACGTCTGGTGGCCGGGTATCGATAACGACATAACCCACCATGTGAAGAGCTGCTCGATTTGCCAAGCTCATCAGCGGGCTCCACAATTAGTTCAACAGACGCCCTGGCCGTTCCCCCAGAAGCCTTGGTCCAGGCTTCACATTGATTTTGGAGGGCCGTTTATGGGGCATACCTTTTTGGTCATTGTGGATGCTTTTTCAAAATGGGTCGAAGTGTTTCCTATCTCGTCAACTTCTGCAGAGGCTACCATAACCGCCCTGCGGACGGCCTTCGCTCAGCACGGTCTACCAGATCTGATTGTCTCAGACAATGGGCCTGCATTTGCAAGTGAGAAGTACTTGGACTTTCTAACATGCAACGGGATACGCCGGATGCTCGTGCCGCCATATCATCCAGCGTCAAACGGGGCAGCGGGAGCGTGTTGTACAAACCGTTAAGAACAAACTCAAGAAAGGTGGCTCTGGGGATTTTCAGACTCAAATTTCCAGATTCCTGTTTCATTACAGGACTACTCCGCACGAGATCACGGGCCGTGCACCATGCGAGTTGTTGACGAAAAGGATGTTCAAGACGCCGTTGGATGTCCTGCGTCCCAGCCTCCAATCATCAGTGCTGCTCAAGCAGCTAAAACAGAAACTTTATACTGATAAAGGCTGCCGACAGGGAGCGCCGCTCAACCCTAAAGAGAACGTGTTCGCCACGAACTTCAGCCAGGGTATGCCCTGGGTGCCTGCTCGAGTCGTCGGCGCCACAAGGCAGTCTTCAGCGCAAGTCCGCCTTGAAGATGGCACACTGTGGCATCGGCACGGTGATCACCTGCGTTCCAGACCGACCGACGCCACTACAGCAGCTACGGCGGAAGCAGAGACTTGTCAACCTGTTGGTGCTGCAGCGCAGTTGGAACCGCAAGCATTAAATAAGAGTCAATGTGCTGGTGCTCCCGGCGCTCTGTTCGAGCCAGGCGAAACAAGCGTGGGTGCAAGCGACAGTGCCGCAAGCCCTAAAGTAACTCCTCATCCTACAAGCATCAGTCCACCCCAGCTGCGCCGTAGCACAAGGACTAGGAGGGCCGTGCAGCGGTACTCCCCTTAGCTGTAGCTGGTCTTTGTACCTCAGAGGGGAGGACTGTTATATTCCTGGCCAGCATGTAGCGCCACAAGGTCCCCTGGTGGCCTAGTGTGACGATGACTGGAAGTGCGGCGCTTTATATTAAACAGGGGGCCACCCGGCTCCCTCAGTTAGTGTTGTGTTGGAACCGAACTGCGTCTGTCATGCTTCCGCTTCTTGCCGCCGACGAACGTTGGCCGGTGCGAAGCGAGTTCAGTTTACACTTGTCTGGTCATTGATGCACCTTCCAGTCTGTCCAATGTAACATTCACCACATGACGCTGGGATTTCATACACACACTCCTTCTCACATTCCATGTACTTGGTCTTGTGAGATACCTTGCAGTTTGTTGTTTCCTAGTTGATCTCCTTGTTTACCTTATACAGTATAGGAGTATAGAAAGAGTATGACAAGTCGACAAGTTGTGAACCCTGAAATTTTGTTCTCAGATATCTCGTGCACCCTTTACATATGTGTGCTGTTGCAAAATCTGTAGCGCCAGTGGTGGGAGGAGCTCAAAACACGCCTCACATTCTGTCTCGCCCAATTTTTACAGCGGGATTAAGGTACTTTTAAATTTCTCTCCGAAGTCTTCTTCACTACTCCACGTAAGCACGGTTCGGTCGCATTCTCACCTTCTTTGTTCGCTGCCCACCCCCTTTTTTTAGAATTTGTTTGCGAACGGAGAGAAAAATCTATGTGCATTTCGGAGGCTAACGTCGACAATTCGTTCAGGGCGGCCTTTAGAAACTGCAGAGGAGGAAGAAGAGAAGACGCCTCACCCACGACTCCTCGACCATCCACGCGTTCTTCCAGCCCGTTCTCGTCTGTGATGATCCAGTGCCGGGACTCCAGCTGACAGCTCTCCTTCTCCAGGGCGTGCTCCGGCATGGACATGCTGGGCGGAAAAGACGTCCGTCGCATTTCGGGGGAGCAGTCAAACTTCCCGCTTGCTTCGTTCCCCCTTTTAGCTTAATTTCATTACATCTAATAACGATACCCATAATCATAATTACAAAAGCTAGTCTGGGGTCCAATAACAAGATTGACGTCGAACCTGCCGCGCGTGCACGCTCACGAGGTGTAACAGAAGTCCCTTTATTCGCGTCTCCAGCTCGTTGCTTGCCCTCCCGTGGAGGAAACAGGAAACGCTCTAGCCAGGGTCCCCCGATTCCCCGATCAGCGGGCACGGCAGAACTGCTCGTGATCATGGCTTGCGGAATGTCATTTCCGAATGCAAACAATAACACTCTTTACTTTCATAATGTAGTGCTGCAGCCTGCTTGGGATTGTACCTTATAAAAAAAGTTTTTGTATTGCGTTTAAAAACAAACGCAAGCGCCACATGTTTGCGTTAATTGCGTGCTCCACACTGCGCGTGCGCGTCGTCACCACGCTCCAATTTAAAAGAACAATTTTGGGCACTGCGCACGTGCAAACCGCATACGCAATGCTAACGCAAACGCTCGTTTAACCATAATAGTCGTTTCAGAAAGGTCGCATTTTGCTTTATTTTTAGCATTAGAAAAACTCTGATATTCTTACCAAGATAGACAAACAGTTAAACACTGAATATAAAATATTCTTCGTCACACGTTGCTTTAAAAAAAAGACACGCGGCTCTGCTGCCTGACTCTGTATCAGTCTTTGGGTTTTTGTAGTAAGAACAGCGTTTCTTAATTTATACCTTTTGTGAACATATTCTAAACTCATCACCCATGGCAATTTGTTAAATTTGAATTGATTCTGTTGTTCTTGTGCTGGGAATAATGTTAAACCAATTAGTCATCTAAATACCCAAAGACCTATTGAAAGGCCACCAGCTCATTATTTCACGTGTCATTTATCTGAGCGACAAAAGGCAGCAAGAATGCGCAAATATCAGTGCCGATTATTTCAACAAATACAATATTCCGCGTTATTTCTAAGGTGTAAGAAAGACCCTGTCTTTAAAGGGACACTGAAATCTCCAAAATATTTTAAAGTGCCTGGATCGGACACGTATGTCACAAAAAAAAGTTTCTGCGAACAACTTCTTTGGCTCAACAATTATGCTGCGAGACGCATCTCGATATATGAAAGAGTCCTAAATTAGCACTCATACCGAGAAATTACGCGCAAAATAGAGGTTTGTTTCGGTTTCGTTCCAGAATTAAAACGTGCCTCTTGGCGTAAATATTACGCTAAAGATTGCTTTTGTTCTTAGGATGAAGAGGTAACCTGCACTCGAAGCACCCTAGCTTCCTCGTATAAGCAGGAATACTTTGTGTCGCTCAGTGAAGCCAGCACACTAGTCAGGCTGTCGTCTCCGACCACCACTATAACCGCCATTTAGAAAAACGAGTGGTGCCACCTACAGTCAGTCGGAGTTACTAATACTGAAAGTAGCACCACCGATTGATCCTCCGACACAGTCTCACCTCCTAGAAAAATCCTCCTCTCTTCGAAGCTCCCCTCGCCACAACCACCGATTGGCCGAGAGTCCATCTGGTTTCAAGTCGCCACTCCCGTCTGCCATTTGTGCCCTTCCATCCGCCGTGTTCATATTCTCGGACGGCGTGCATATGTGTACTGTGCAATCCACCCATAACGATCATGAGAAAACCCGAAAACACAATCGTTAGAACCGATTATCGTTGTATCTGAACTGGATATTCAATGCATAAATGCACAGTCCTGTAAAAAGTGATTGTTATAAGCAATACATTGTTATGTGCGGCATCGTCGTAAGTGGATCGCACTGTACATACTACGTTGCCGGCCACCCATCGAAGCATTTTTTTATATCGCTAGAGCATACGCCGCGTGTCTTGCTCTTAGAAACGACGTATAACTGCCGCCATGACGTGGCGTCACTAAATCACTCGCGCATGTTTACAAAATGCTCATGCCCTTTTTATCTCGTCGTCACTAGGGCGAGTAAAGGCACACGCAGCGAGGATATTTGCTGTCGACCATTTCGGAAACGAGTGAGTCGGCGACACCCAGTTGAGTGGGCGCAGAAGATGCGAGACGACGGGGTGGACTCACGTGATACGATACGTGTGGAAGAAGTGCGGAGGGTTGATGCTGCTGAGTTCGGGCACAAAGCAGGTGGCCACGGAGACGGTGATGTTGTCTGTGGTGAGCTCGCACCCCGGCTCGTGAAAGAACCTGCACGCACAAGTCAGCCTTAAGACGCTCGTCTCCTTCCAGCTTGAGTCCTCCCCCGCACTGGGTTCCTAGCAACCGAGGAGTTCCCCAGAACGTCCTCGTAGGTTCCCCAAGTGGAAGCAGTTTAGCTTTCTACACCTGTGCATATTCCGTGTGATATCTGCACCAACTTCCAGGTTTTTCTCGAAAGTCAACAATATAGACCGTTTTTTTGTGCTGCGCGAATATTCAAATAGTAGGTTCGAATAATACGCTATTCAGTATTCGCGTCGAGGTGAACAGCAATATTCATACTTTCCGAAGTGTCAATCGTGGTGGGTTAACCCCGTTGAGTGCACTTCTCACCGAGCACCGCTGCACTTCGTGGAAGCAATACCTGCGGAACTTGCGGGCATTGCTTCCCCGCAGTACGCAGGTGCTCGGTGAGAAGCGCACTCAATGGGGCAAACCTGCCCTAGTCATGCGAGAATATGGGGAGTATTCACTGGCAAGCATAGCTGTGTGCACAAATGCTGAGCGCGTGCTGACGCCGAGCTTCCACAGTTCTTCTGCAACGTGTATTCCGCACAGTCAAGATTGCCGGTCTTAGCAGCCTAATAATGCGAGCTTGTTCTGAGCCATGCGCTTTAAACAGCACCCACAAATATGGCGTCTAGTCAATACAGTGTACTCCCTATATGTTAAGCTGTGATCTCTTCACAACCCGTGCTCATAATTCATGCTTGTTTTGTTTGTTTTGTCAAATTTGAAATAGAAAACAAAATTTCTGCATATAGGGAGCAGATTTATAAATTCTCTCGATTAGGATAACTGCGACAAATGTGTCGTTTACATGCCACAGTTCATATACCGTAATATCCCGAGTCATCGCCCACCCCCGTTTTGGGCGAAATATCAATTTCGTAAAAAGCACTGAGTCAACGCCCACCCTGTTTCGGGCAATCAATCTTGTAAAGAAAGCACCGAGTCATCGCCCAGACCTGAAAAACGCCAATTTCGAGCCCCACAAATGGCAAACAGAAAAAAAAAAAAAAAAGAAGAAAAGAAAGGGCGCCCTTCTGCATTTTCACGACTCCAAAATCGGAGGATTCTTAGGAGAAGAAACGCAATAAAAATAAGAAAGCGAACCTATATTTATCTGGCAAACAAAAGCAGACACGTTTCCGATCCTTTCTCTCCTGCCCGCACCCCCCTCCCCCCCCCCACCCCCCCTTCCCGAAAAAGAAATAAATATAAAAGGCGCCTGGATGCGCGGATCATAGGGTCAAAAAAGATCGTAGGAGGGAGAGAAAGAGATAACAAAATGCCGCTTTATGTTCTTTTTTCTGTTTATAACTGAAAGTCCCTTTTCATCGAAAAGATAAGTCAGGCCGCGAAACCGCAACTTAAATAGGACGCGGATCGGATGACTAACTCAATACTGCGAATACGAGTGGTTCAGAACAAAAAGCCTCGTTTGGATTCGATTTTCTTTGTCCAAAACCTACTCCGGCCGACTTGGCATTCTTTGAGAACATCGCGACCGACAGACGTCTGACAGTGATGCGTCATTTGACGGTTTCGACGAGTAAATAAAGATTTGCTGTTACACCCAGCGCAAACGCCTTTTTCCTATTTTTTCACGCTTCGTTTATCTCGGACGGCATGCCAGATGCACCGTCCACATCGCAGCCAGCTGCTCTACGCGTCACCTTAAGGGGGAGGCTGGTCTTTAACTTTTGGTTTTTTATTTTTCATTTATCGTGCTGGAATTTAGTATGCTGATGTATTTCTCTGTGGTGATTTCAAATATGCAATTTGTTTTGAGATAGCTCTACTAGATCTTGAGTTATTTATAAATTTGTAATTTTAATTAGGTCCTCCTTACGGGTCGTTACCATAAAATTGGTCAAAATATATCAGAAATTTTTTATAGAATTGCATTCACCAAGATGTGTTTTGTGCGGTGATGCTATTTTAAGACTGATTTAATGATATTTCATTGGTAAAAAAACATTTGCAATCAAGTTGCATAAAATGGGAAGCTATATCTTTTTGAGACTAATTAATTAAAATTATTGTATGACATATAAAGCAGCAAAAATAGCATCACCGCACAAAACGTGTCTTGGTGAATGCAATTCTATAAACATTTTTTATATATTCTGAAAACTTTTACGCTAATGACCCGTAAAGAGGACCTAATTAAAATAACAAATTTATTGGTAACTCAAGATCTAGTAAAGCTATCTGAAAACTAATTGCATATTTGAAATCACCACTGAGAAATACATCACTATACTAAAATTCAGCACGATAAATGGAAAATAAAAAAACAAAAAGTTAAAGACCAGCCCCTCCCCTTAAAGGCCGACTTACGAAACCATTTTCCGCAGGGTAGGAAAGTGCTCCCCAACGACCTTCGCTCCCACCCCTCTCGCACTCCTTCCTCCTCCTCCCCTCGAAAGGGCGGGTCCGGAGGCTGGTCTCCGTGGAAAGGAGAAGGGGTTTCCTCCTTTCTGGGTGGCAAGGAGGAAACCTCTTCTCCCGCGAAAAATGGTTTTGTAGGTCGGCCTTTAAAGGAGCGATGCAACAATTTTTGTACTTTGCGCAAATACCGCTTAAAACGGATCCCTAACGTTAATGACCTATGAAAATCGCGTTCGGTTTTCACCCCACGCAATGGAAGTCCCAGAAAAAAATTAAAGAAAAACGAGCAGCGTTCACCCCCTCAACTCGCAGCCAGAACAAGCGGCCACGTGATCTGGAGCCGATTATATGCCGCCAGTGTTGATCATAGCCACGCGCTGGTGTTGGCAAGGTACAGGACACGCGCTGAGTTTCAGACATTGTTATGGCTCGGCTGCTGTCGTCGTTGCAGCGATTGGACACGGGTCACTACCCGAATGCTTCTCGAGCTAGCAATTATCACGAGGCCAAGTCGAGTGCCCACGCAATGCTCGGGTCCAATCTATAAACCGCATTCAAATATCGTCACTTGGGTGTACTGCGATCCCCGAGTTACGTCATCAAATTTTGCAAAGGAGAGATTGAATGAAAATGATCGCTTTTGTCCTTGAAATTACACCGCAACAAAGGAGTTTCTTGGTCAATGGCGTTGCGTGTGAGTATCCTTGAGTCCCAGGTGTGCCAGTAAGCTCGTGTAGAGTGAAAAACATTCCAATTGAATATCGTTGCACCGCTCCTTTAAGCAAGCCGCGCTATCTGTAAAAGAAAACACCGTTGTTATTGTTGAGCGTTGAAACGCCGTCAGAGCTGTAGGCGATCGAAGCCTCTTTCGAGCTCTTTTCTCCCACTCCCCTTCCCCCAACAAGGCGCTGACCTACTGGCAGTATAAGCCTGGAAACAAAGCGTCATTTTCCTTTCCCAAAGCATCACCCCCCCACACACACACACAAGCCAATCGGGCACCGGCGCAGAGCGTAACCGGTGGCTGCGTTCTGAGAACAACCAATGGCTGCGCTCCGCGTCGGTGCCCGATTGACCTTGGCCGCCCGCAGCTCCGGTTGTACTGCCACAGAAAGTTGTCCTGGAGCCCCGCGCGCGCACGCACAAACTCGAAGGTCATTGAGTTTGTGCGTGCGCGCGCTTTCCGCGGCAACAATTGCGCCCGCAGAGAGAGCCTTTTTATGGTTTTCGCTTTTGTCATCTTATTTTTGCTTTTGTACTGGGTTCGTTTTAGGCGTCGGTTAAAGGGGCGGTGCAACGATTTTCGGACTTTGGTCAAAGATTTCTGGAAGTTGCCCCCTGACACTTCTGAAGTAAAGAACAGAAAACCGATTTCGCCTGCATCTCCTAGTTGCTGGGTAAAAAAAAGATAAAGATTGGCCTTTCGGGCACCCCTCAACTCACTCCCAGTCTTCAGGGTCACACCTTGTCGCACTCCCAGTGACGTCATTCGGAGTGCCGTGTAGCTTCCCGTGTGCTATCTCGGAGGACGCTTCCCCTCCCTCTCTCTGCGTGCATTAGCGGGCGCTATGCTGCGGCTTAGAGCCGAGCGAGGTCATGTAATCTTTCCGCCGTAGTTCCTTCGGCTGCCACTTGGGGCTGCAGGTGGGGGAAAAAGCTCGACTTTTGCTTTGCGATTATGCAGCGGAATCGAGACATTTTTAATGTAGGAAGTGTTTTCTCTATCCTCTGGGACACGATAAACAACGTAAAAATGACGAGATGCAAATTCTTTTAATCATAAAATCGTTGCACCGCCCCTTTAAAGGCTGCCGGTTTGCTTGGTTCCGAAGTCGAAAAGGAAGCGGAGACCCGCTTTCCTTTCGGCTTTCGTCACCTTTGCTCGGTCACTGTGGCTTCTTAAAATTTTTCTTTCTTTTTTTTTTTCGATGATTCTCTTCTTTTTTTTTTCGTTCACGTTGGACCGAAGGCTGCAGCGGTCATAGCTTCGAATTGCGCTTGCTCGGAGGAGGCGGAAACGAGCGACACGCGAAGCAGTGGATTTTGCTCGACAGTAAAATAAGTCGCAAGTAAGATACCAACCCGAGATTTGAGTTCAGTTAATCTCCTGTCTAGCTTCGCTATACACAAAAAAAAAAAAAAAAAAAAAAATCACATTTTTAAACTTTTTTGAAACTTTTTGAGCTCGGCACCCGAGTCATGGCCCACCCCACAATTTTTGAGAATTTCAGGCGGTGGGGGGGTGGGCGTTGACTCGGGATATTACGGTAGTAGTTACATTAAAATAACTCAGCTTAGAAGTGGACAAGGGGAAGGCTGAGAACAATTTTCACGAGTCCTGATAAATATCCGTTTAATTACCCAGAAAAAAAAAATTCTGCAAAGAAAGTACATAAGAAAAAAAGTCATATTTACATCCACCAATGCCTAGAGAATATTCCAAAAATGTTTAATTTGTATACAGTGCACAGTCCCCAGGTTCCCCAGGATCGTGTCCGGTATGTTGACACACACTTACCTGGACAGCTACCGCCATCTATAAGCGACAGCGGCAAGCACACAACCAGTATGGTTTCCGCTGTCGCTCGTAAATGGCGGCAACCTTTCCAGCTATCATAGAAGAATTTATAGTTGAGCGCCCATTGGCGGGAATTCATCGTAGGAAACAGCGCGAAAAACAGACGACAGCAAAGAAGCAGCACACAGTGTATCGAGTACAGCTCCGCTGGTCTTCCTTCTTCGCGAGAGTGGAAAGGCTGAACGATTTTTTAAAATTATTTTCTGTCTACCGATGCTAAAGAAAAGGTAGAGGTTCAAGCCCTTCGAATGAATTTTTCTCAGTTCCTTTTGTTTTGCATAAATTTCACTTTAGGAGAACTATCGTTTGGTAATAGGACAAAAGCAAAGGCTCACTCATTGTTTTTCTTAATGGAAATTTAATGGGGATTGCAACTTTGGCATTGATTTTCTTGCTTTCTAGATGTCTTTTATAAAAGATGTTAAGGTTTTGCAGACAACATGAAGCGAAAAAAATGTATTTGACTTTTTAGTGCGATGTTAGCATAAAATAAATTACTTTTTAGAAATTTTGTTTTCACAGTTGCACTCTCAGGCATTTTGTTGCGTATCTAGTGAACAAAAATGTTGGGTATTACATTAGGTTTCAAAACATACCTTTCCTAAACAATGTCGATCAGTTCCCGATAAAAACGACTATAATTTATTTCAAAATTTATGTACACAGATGAAACTTTGCACTGCATTCTGCATCGTAACTGCCAGTATATACTGTAAATTTATTTCATATTAAGCCAAAGGTTCGAAAGTTTAACCTTTTGGGTAGCTCTTAAGCATGGTGCACAATAGTGAAAGATGTTAAGGAACTATTCAATATTCAATTAGAAAATTTGACCAAAACCACTGCCTTGAGATCCCGAAGAAGCGCCCACTCAAAATTTTGAGATAATCATGTAAAACTGGGGGATGCGTGCTTCTTAGGTCAACAATTTGTAAATATCTGTCTCACGTATTTACTGAACGTTACAAAATTGAAGGGTGAGCGCCTATTGCAGAATGGGCAGGTGTCTGGTATATTACGGTATTTGCTTCAAATTCGCTTCAAGCTCAAAATCTACTATTCGCACATGACTACTGCTTTTGGAATGTTTTTTCTTTACCATCAAAAAAGCAAATGAAATGTTTCTTTGCACATTTCCTTCTTGAGCCGGTTCGGCACCCTCAATAGGATTCGGCGCCTTGAGTAGGCACCAGTGGCATGAAACAGACCAGCAAACGACTACTAGTGCACTGGTGCGCCAACATGAAGAACTGTTGAAGCAGGCAACTATAGAAATCGTATGTAATGATAATTGATGCAAAAAGTGTAGAAGACATAAAACTATAGACAAATAACTAAAATACAATCTGCACTGAACTATAATTTGCAATATTATTGTTACAACCTGCCAAACACCGTCGTTCGAACAAACTAATTTTGCAAAAATCTCCGGAAAAAAAAAAGAACCCACAAAAAGTAAATTATGCGACCCCTATGGTGACAGCACATGGAATGCCACCGCCGCTCCCGAAAAACCACTAAGTGCCCTTTTCACAAATTAACCCTGAAAACGGTACTTTGCACGATTCGCGCAATATCAAGCACATGGAAGTATAGTAATTTACTAATTCTAGGACTATACAGACTATCAAAGTGCCACAAACATCATAAAAGCAAGCAATGCCAAAGTACTAGGTATTAGTTTACTGTGTGTCTATAAGGCGGAAAGCAGTGCTGGCACAGGAAGAGTGGGTTGAAACCAAATAGGTGACGCCGAGTTTAGCCGAGACAAAATCACGGTGATTTTGCATAGCTATCAACGCTACTTTTCACAAGTAACTGTAACCAAAGCAAACTCAAAGTTATTCCAAAAATATAACTACCGTAGAATACCATGCATCTGCCCATACCACACTAAGCGTCCTTACTCAAATTTGTAAGATCTGAGAAAATATGCACAGTGCATTGATACGTAAAATTGATGACCGGAAAAGCACCCATCCCCCATTTCTTCGCGATTACTTATCTCTAAGTGTTGAGTGGGCCCTTGCCCGGTATTTTACGGTAAGTTGGAAAAAACTTAGTGGGATTGCTTACAGTAATTTAAATATACTTTTAGGTTTTAAAAAGTCTCAGAGCTCAGAAGTGCTACAATAATTTTTCCACATACTGATAATATCACTGATGGCTTTCTTTTGCCCATCTGTTTCGTACCATTTATGAATAAAAAAAGATATTTCCATCTTTACAGTTGCAAAGCAAAGCGTACAATGCCATAAACTATGGGCAGCTGCTAGTTCAGCGCATACCTTAATATCTGGAGTCGTTGCCTAGCCCCAGCCGCCTGAAGTTCATAAAAGAAGTGGGGTGGGCCATGTCTCGGTGGGTAAGCACAAAAAGTTTAGAAAAACCAAAATAAACGTCCATTTTTCTGTACGTATCTAGCGTGGCTGCACAAGAGATAGTACATTAAACTCAAAGCTCGAATTGGTTTCATCGTTTTACGCAAGAAATGCTCATAATATATTATACCGCAAAGTCCGTCGCTTGCATAACGCGATGAACACTGCCAATCGGCATACAGTGCAAACGGTTATTCCGTGAAAGCATGTTTCTTACACCGCTATGTTCTCTTCGTTAGTAAAAAAAAAAGAACAAAAGAGACAACAAGAAAATAGAAAAATTAACCAGGCGCAATGAGAAAGTGGACGAAAGGAGCAACGAAGGGCGATGCTGGGGAAGCGGAAAAGCCAGCGATCGCATTGGCAAATATTTTGGCATCGGGCCAAGTCGGGCGTGCGTCCGCGCGCGGCGCGAATGCAGGTTGAGGCAGCGTTGTTGCGTGGCGCGGACGGCACCACGAACACGGAGCTCGCAATTGGACACTCCACAAACGTCTTTGTGCGGCATTCCAGCATTTCTTTTTAACCCTTTGGTTTTCTCTTAAACAATGCACAACCTTACCAACAGCGGTGGCGTCCCGACCGCTGCTGGTAAGGTTGTGCGGATCCGGTAGAAGGAGCAAGTTCGCGGTGACCTTCCTTTGGTGGAGACAGACTTTCGACCTTACACTCCACAGTTACGTTCCAGGATACAGGGTGTTCGCTGACCTCGCAGGCTCTGAATGGGTTACTGCTTGTGTTATCTTTCCCACTTAGTTATTTCGTCCGAACAAACTTTTTTGTAAGTAAAACAGAGTTTCGCTCTGTTATCTGTATCGTTTTCCTTTTGCACGCATGTACTACGACTTCGGGGTAGCGGAAATCGCGGAGGAAATGCGTAATCAAAATGTGTCTTTCCTTCCTGCATTTTACTTTGTTACAAACATACTCCAACCGTAAGGTCTGGCCGCGTCATTCGGGTACGATGAATGTTCGCGGATCGCGGAGTCTGCATTGGGGCATGTAAACGATCACTCTGTGCTTTTTGGGAATTGGTATTCATCCAAAATGGGATATTACGGTATGCACGTACCACAAACCAGAGTACTTATTTAAGTACTTTTAGTTTAGTGATACAGCGACTCTTGACTGAAAGCTATAGCAAAGAGTACATTGCTAAAATGTGAAAAAAAAAAAAAATGAAAAAAAAAAAAACGCACAAAAGATTTGGTTCAAGAAAAATATTGTTAGGGGAAGCAGTAAAATGTTTAATTGAAGTGCAACTGCATTATTTTTAAGCAAATTTCAGTCTCATTGCAGAACTTCCCCCCCCCCCCCCAAAAAAAAAGAAATCTGGAAATATAGTGTTTAATTTTGTATTGTTCGACTGATTTGGTGCGATTTATCCTGGACAATCCAGTGAATAAAACGGTAACATATTTTTCTACGTGAATTTTAAATTTTCCATAGAGGAAGGAATACAAATATTTTAATCTATTTACTGTAGCTTCTAATGTCTGAACATTGGCTAGTTTAAGCAAGTGTGATACAGAAGTTACTGGACACGTAGAGCATTAACAGATTAACAAATCTTATTAATCTCACATTATCTCCCATTGCAATCCAAAAAGGCCCTCTCACCTGTAAGGCTGGTTGTCTAGCACCACAAACTCCTTGTTGTCCAGCATGTCCGCGTAAGTCGTGAACCATTCTAGAAAAGAGCGTGCTGCGTACAGAAAAAAAAAAACAGAACAGTCAGTGCCCATGTGCAAGTTCACTTTCCCAAAGGGTTCCAATGGAACTACAAAAAAAAATCACTCGCCGGGAAATTTTTTGTTTGTTCAGACTTATGTATAGTCCAACCCAACAACCACAAACAAAAAAGCAGGAAAATTTCACTTTAGCCTCAGTGGGGACACAGGGCCAGATAAGCAGTTCTGAGATAGAGGCCCCTTCAGCCCATCTAACCCTTTTGACTCTTAACCCTTTGACAGTAGAGCACATATTCCGAAAGGTTGTTTCACTGTGGTCTGCTTTTCTTTTCAAAGGAATAGCAAGAGGCAATGCAAAGGATTGTTCCTTCGCCATCCAGTAGGAGGACGTAGAGTGTTGGCCAGCTGTTTAGGTCTACGATTATCAACTGGCGAAGGCCAAAAGTTTTCAATTCTCTTCCATTCAGTTTCATTTTGGCACCTCCGCCTCTGCGACATTCTTGCAGGCTCAGACTCCGAACAGGAGGTACTTTACAGAGCTTCTCCCTCAGATGGAAGGCTCTCATCCTCAGAATTTAATTGTGAGGAGCGTGAAAAGCCTCAAATTGGAAGAGCCAGCGCTCCAACCATTCCTACCACCAGAGCAGCCGACACGCGAAGCGTCAATCTAGCGCGCACCCGGAGAGCCTGATTTCGCAATTATAAGTAGCCCCAGCAAAGCAAAACACCGTGCGGATACAATGCTTATAGTTTGCCGAAAACACAACAGACGGCCACACCTCTAGCAGTGTGCACAGTTTTGCGTTTAGGCGGGCAAGTCTCAAATGTGTAATCGACGACTGTCAAAGGGTTAACAGCAGGCGATTGTTTCTCCCGTTCCTTAGTCATAACAGAAGCTAACGTTGGTATGTAACTCCGCTCCGGTTTTGAGCGAGGAGGTGGCACTGTTTTTATATCTGTGCAAGCTGCGATCTTCCATATTCCTTCCAGATGCCCCAGACGTCCTTCAACATGGTTCTGCGCGTGAACGTCATCTCTTTCCATTCGTGTTTGGAGAATCGGCAGTATGTCAGGAAACTCGGCAAAAATGCCGAGCTTTTTGAGGATCGGGATTTTAGCAAATGTAGACTGTGACAAATGCCAAAGTTGTGATAACAACAAGAAAAAAAAAAAGCCAAAAGGGTAATTCGAGTTTTAGCAACGATGAACTCGGAGACCCCGCAACTCTGTGATTTTCCTTCTAGCAACACTGTTCGTCGACTGTTGTCCCTGACCCACTTTTGGCCTTCAAAAATTTTCTAAATTTTTTGTGTATCTTTTGGCATGAAAACGTTTGAAAAGGAATAGTAGCGACCATTTTTCCAAGGGACACACCGAATTCTGCAAATTCTGCAAAATCAGCCGTGTAACGAAGAAGCGGGAGCAACTCGCGCAACAAAGAGCGACTGAGATACGCCGGTGACACGGAATCCGCAACAGAAGCAGTTATTAAAATCAAGTGTGGCAGGGTGAGACACGCACGTCACAAAATAGACTCCCACAGAAAAAAAAAAGAAACGGAAATATAGCGCAATTCTCCTGGGTTTGACGTCTCAAAATAGAAATGCGTTTCAGAACCGTTCCCGGCTCAAAACGTGTCCTGGAATGTAAATATTGCCCGAAACCTATTTCGTTTTTGGGGCGAAAGCTCATTTTGTGACAGTCTACTACATGTCCTATTAAAAGAAAGCGTTTTCTACGAGTTCAGCATTCGATTCCAAGACGCGCGTATACTCCCGAGTCGTCGACCCGGAATACAGGACATAAACTAATGCTTCTAAAACACCTTAGACGGCCCGCAAAAATCGGTTTCTCAACGTACTGTGCTGCAATTTACTACAGAGGTGCAAGCAGGTGGTGGTAATTTACGGTGAAAAAATCAAGAAATAAACTTGCCTTAATCAAAAGAAAAAAAAAAAAAAAACGTTCTGGGCATATTACTTTGCCACTTCGCAGATGATGCACGCATAGAAAGAAGTGCTTCCAACAGATGGCGTACGTCGCGTCGAAGGAGCGCTGGCCGATTCGGGTTCTTTTGTGAGATTGTCTGCTAGCAAGCCGATTTTTGCGGCCCATCTAAAATGCCTTACAAGCAATTAACTTGCATGCCATAGAGGCGAGTTTCCGAATCGCTCAAACGAGCCTCAAGACGTAAATATTGCTTCAAACTTTTTCTCTCTTTTCGGGGAAAATTTTTATTTTCTGACACACGTGTTCGATCCGTAACACTTTAAACGAATAACTTTTCGGGAGTTCGATGCCTTCTTTTAGAAGAGAGGACCCCCCCACCGGTGATGAAGGCGTCGATGGGGTGTGCCCTGGGGCCCTGGGTGAGGTCCTGGGACGGGTAGAAGACCGACTGGGGCAGGTGGCCGTCCGTGTCCTTAAGGGCGATGAACTGGGTCAGCCCCGAGTGCAGGCAGAAGGTCAGGGGCATGCAGCCCTGCAGGCCCTCACGGCTCTGTAGAGGGGGTCGAGGGAAGAGGGGTTAAGGCCGCTAGAGAACCCCGTGGAACGCTCCAAGTGGAAGCCAATGTCCGGTACTCTAGCGACCAATGGTGGCCAAATCGTCCTGCGACCAATCGTGGCCAGATCATCCCTTGACCAATTGTGGTTGTATTATCCATGGTGTCTACCAGATTTTCTTCCCTCGAATTCCTTGACTTTCCCAGGTTCTCCCTAAATGTTTCGATTTCCCCAAATATTTTGATTAAATTCCCCAACCATTACAAAAGAAGCAGCCATTCGGGCTGTTCGCATTTAATCCGGGGTGGCTCACACTGCCTGGTGATACTTTGGGCAACTGTTACTCGGCACCAAGGCCATCCACACCACTGCATGCCACACCCTCCCGTTTCATCCCTGCCCGCGCCGCCCACACCAGTAATTTTCCCTAACTCAATCAATTTTCTAACAATTTTCTAACAATTTTCTCGACAATTCCCCGACAATTCCAGGTCTTCCAGGTTGGTAGACACCCTGTTATCTCGTGACCAATCGTGTCCAGATCATCCTGCGACCAACCGTGTTACAGTCATTTTGTGTGTCAGGTCATCTTGTTACCAATCCTGACCAGATTGTCCTGTGACCAATCGTGACGTGGCACCCCGAGATTCTAAGTTTCTCGGCAAAATGCTCCAGGTGCCATCAAAGTCAAATTGGATGTTTAATGATTTATACAGGGTAAGGTCGGTCTGCCAGGATGAGGCAACACTGGTTTTTACTGTAGATGAGCAATTTTGCCAGTGCAGTACGACTGCTAACCTGGGGTCTTTAATGTGCTCACACAGTAGCGATACATGACCGCACGCCGGTACGATGCTCATCCAGATCAAAACGGGCAGGGGTGGGGCTCGAACCCAGGATCCCTGGGTTCTGCAGCGCGAGCTTTCGCTCCACGCGCGTCGAGCTGGGTGTGTGCTTTAGTCCACTCGGCCACCGATCCCCCCTCCAGGTGCCATTCTGAGCTTTACATATGAGGAAAACAATAAAAGTAGTGCCTAAAGTAATAAAGAAAAAAAAAAAAAAACTCCGTAAGCCTCAAATTGCCCCAGAAAGGACGCAAGTGCAGCTGTGTAATGCCCCGTTACCGGAAACGATGCGACAAGTTAGAACATCGGGGTGACAGCATTAAAAGAGAAACTAAACCAGTCGCTCTGCAAAAGTCTATTGAACAGTTGAGAAACTACAAAACCCGACGTGGTGTCACGTAGCACTCGTTAAAGGTTCCGCAGACGACAAAAGAAAGCAACTCGTGACAATAGGGTCATTCCCTTTGAGCTAGAAATAAAACCAAGGAAGCAAAGTATTAAAGCATGCAACAACATTTTAACATAACTGAGATCCTCGGCTCCTCTAGCAAGGGAAAGGAGAGTATGAGTTGACGAGGTTCAATGGCAATTTATTTCGCTGAAGCCCGACGCGCAAAAATAAACTCTTCCCGGGAGAAAACTTTTCACTTTTTCTTTGTTTCCTCCTCTCGTTTCCTTCTCACTTCTTTACGTCCCTCTCGCATGCTAAGCGTCTAGGCAGCTTATAGCCACCCAAACCTAAACAACAGGGACTGGTCACACTGGCAGGAAATGAGCACCGAAGGGGGCTATGGCTATCGCTTGGCTCGGACAGTGTGGATCGCTCTTCGGGCTGTTCTACAACGGGCTCACAAGCTTCTTTTCGGGAAGGCCATACTCCGACCATCCATAAGCTGACAGTACGGCGGAAGCTACATGCTCGTGGGACCAGTCGCATGCTTGTCTTTCGTCGCGTGATTACGTTCCCACCCATACGCAGGAAGTGGGGTCAGGTGACGAAAGGGAAGCTGTTGATTGGTCCGGCCAGCACGTAACTCCCGCCACAGTGTCAACTCAAAGGTCGACGGAGATTTTTTTTTATTGGGCCTGTGGCATGTAGTTGCTAATTCAGGGTGTCCACCAACCTGGAAGACCTGGAATTGTAGGGGAATTGTCGAGAAAATTGTTACAAAATTTATAGAGTTAATGAAAATGACCAACGTGGGCGGCGCGGGCAGGGATGAAACTGGAGAGTGTGGCATGCAGTGGTATGGATTGCCTTGGTGCCGAGTAACAGTTGCCCGAGGTATTACCAGGCAGTGTGAGCCGCCACCCTATCCACCAGATTAAATGCAAGCAGCCCGAATGGCTGCTTCCTTTGTAATGGTTGGGGAGTTTAATCAAAATATTTGGGGAAATCGATACATTTGGGGAGAACCTGGAAAAGTCGGGGAATTTGAGAGAAGAAAATCTGGTAGACACCATGTAATTGTGTATTTTCGTTTTGTTATTTTTTTAATTTATGCGCCAAGTCAAGTTTTCACCGGGCTAGCATGTCAAAGGGCACAGATATGTCACCAAAAAGCGACGACGACTCGCGCATCATTGTAAGTAGTTTTTTTCCGCTTATTATGCGAAAACGCCGAGGTGTCTCCGAGAGACAAGGCAAAGTTTCCGTGGTAATGGCGCTTAGTTAATCATCTTCATTTTCGGCGCTTGCTTCTTTTAGAACAGGGTCGAACATTAGAGAGTTTTAGTAGATTGTTTCGATATTTCCGATAACGATACGATGCACGTGCCAAGGCTTTGGCAAAATATTAGGCATCGTTGTCGCATTCGTTGAAACGATCTACTACAACTCTCCAGTGTCGTGACAACCTCGGCCGGAAACGCTAAGCTGGTGCCGCGCTGTATCTGCTCCTTTGACACATATGGTATTACATTAGGCAGTCGTCATGCGATTTGTTCTTCGAGGAGATTGCAGAACAAAAGCTCGGGGACCTCAACATTTGTTGTACCGCAAACGACTCTATTTTTGCGGCCGCATAATTTCGTGGATTTCACTGAGCCTGAATTTTGGTAATATCTACTGGGCACGACATTTTACAACTGAAAGTGGTTCGCCACGTACTCGTTATGACAGAGTGCCGTATTCGCGTGATCAATTTCTCACAATAGTTCTAAACCTCAAAACTTGCAAAAACTAGTTTTTCGCAAAAATGAACTACCTAGGTTTAGTGTCTGAACCAATTGCTGAAACAGTAAAGAACCATATCTCGTCTTCTAATAGAAAAACAAAAAAAAATAATAAAGAAAGAATCTGCAAATAGAATAGAAAACATCAAATAAAGAAAAAGGTATTGTTAAAAGAAAAAAAGAAAGCTGCCATTGACATTCTCTAGGTGCAAGATGTTCTCTAGACAGTTGTAGAAATGAACAAACCACGGGAGGAACCCAACGGGCAAGCAGATGCCAGCATGCGACAAGAATGGCAGCTTGACTTTATTCAGTTTTAGTTTATGCTCTGTTCTGCCCAAAGCTGATGGGCGGTGGGAGCTACGCGCTTGTCGGACCGTTCAACCGCTTCCTTTCGTTGCCACACCTCGCTCTGTGCACGTAGGTACGCGCAGAAGCGTAATCACGTAAGAAAATTTTGATACACTCGCGACTGGTACGACGAGCACGTAGCTCCCGCCACACCGTCAGGTCAGGGCACTTTGAGTCCACCAAGTCCGAGTGTCAAAGCGAAAACAACCGGCGGAAACTTCGAGCGTCTTCCGGTCAACTATTTGAGTGCCATCTCCTATCCGTTGGTATTCTATCAAGTCCTTCCGGTTTACGCCGGAAAATTTATTTCATAGGATGTGATACATATTATTGTTGCTGCTTACAGATTTTAAAAATTATCCTGGTAAGGTGAAACAAATATTTGGTTAGCTAAAGTTTCGTCCTCATACTTTGTTCTCATTGGTCAGTTGTTTTTTGTATTTAACCGTTGGAAACAGTTCCGCGTCAGCTCTTGCGGTTGCGGTTGCGTTGCGTCGGCTGCTCGAAGGCGTGTGTGCTAGCGGTGCGGTGGTGGTTTTCGTTTGCGGCAGCGGGCAGTGGCGTTGACCTGTTGGTTATCGGTCTATTTTGTATACCAGCACGCCGAGCAAACGGCACCTTGTCTATTGCTCGACTCAGTGGTGCTCTAATTCCAGTGGCAACAGCTCTGCCAAGTTCTTTGGGTTCCCCAGTGACGAAAGGTAAAAACGGACTACTATACTATTGGTTACACAGTTTCGGATTGCCGAAAACTTGCTGGTGCATGTTTCATTACAGTAGAGTTAATGTAGAAGGTCAGATGGGACAGGGCATTTATGTTAAGATGAGCAGTGTGGGGGGTATCGGTGTTATAGCACAGCAGCTCGGTAGCATGTGCGTGGAGCAGCTGGCGCTGCAGAAGGAACCTGCGAGAGACCGCGGCGATCTAATCACTGTCGCTAAATACTGCAATGTTGAATGTGTGATTGCAGGTCTGTGAACACTTAAATAGCAGTTTCGTGTAGATTTTGTTACTTTGTTGTGCCATGAACGAGTTTTTTTCTGTAAAAGAGCGTGCCTAATAAAAAGAGAACTTGCAAAAGAAGTTTGAACTTGTGCTCAAGCCGCGAAACACCATCGGCGGGGCGCACTTTGCATTCATTGATTGACGATCTAATGAGAAGTGGCTGTTACTGAACATGCACTGTCGCCAAGCCGATCTGAATCGAGCGACGCAAAGTCAAGTACAATCGTTTCGGAAGCGTCGGACATTCGCAGAAAAAGGTAAACACACTTTTTTTTTCTAAAAAAGATATTGCCATTACATCGTTTTGTAGAAGAACGAGACGACGGCAATGGGAGCAGTTCCCTCTTATCTCAACATCAGCGACAATAGGATGCAAATTCGTTCGGAGTTCGGAGGCTGCTCCGAACTCCGAACGAACTTGCATCCTCTTGTCGCCGAGGGTCAGAGAGGGAGAAGAGGAACAAAACTTCTCACACCCTCTTCCATAACCAAGCGGTTGCCATGATGACAGCGCGCATATTGTTTTGTTTATTTCTTATTGTTTTTGGAGAAACCCAACGCCCGTTAGGGGAGATTTGGCGCTGCCGTCTGCAATTGGAGTCCCAATAGGAGGTATAAGAAGATTCCGCCAGTCGGCGAAAGGCTTGAAGAGGGGGGGCGGGAGAAAGAAGGCGTAGCTTCTGCACTTCTTTGTGGGATATCAAACTGGCTACTAATCTTCTCTAATCATCAACCTAAAAGGAAACGGTTCTTTCCTTCTTTCCTGTTGGGGGGAAAAAGACCGTGAGCAGAGGGGGCCGGCAAAAGTAAGCTTCCCCCTCTTTGCTTGTCGGAGGGCCTTTAACGACGGTGCACAAAGAAAAACCCTAACACTTGCAGTCCGTTTTAGTGACGCCTGACAAAATTCTTGCATGTGCGATATCATATTTTCCGGTCGTTAAGTCGCGCCGTCATAGCCGCGCCCCCTACAAACGGCCGCTTTTGCAAAAATGTTGGTATACGAGTAGCACCTCTGTACGAGTTGAACATATCTGCTTGTACGCTTGGCGCGGCGAGACCGCATTCATCAGCTTGCGCACGTGTGTTCCAATCCTAATGTGAGCACGAATTGGAGTCCGTTTGAATAATCTCGGCACCAAACCGAGCGAGAAATACGACCCCCACAACAAATTTGCGCAACGACGAAAATCATGAAAAAATCTGTGCCTCGTACGTTGGAAAATACGGCCCGTTACGGTGTCGTCGTGCGACACAATCTTACGGTTGGGTCACGTGACGTGCCACTAAATTTAATAAATGGTGCTACAGCTGTTTCTGGGCCTTCGAATAAAGATTATTATTATTATTACTGTTAATATTATGTTAGTCTTTTCCTGCTAGGTGAGGTCCAAAACACGTTCTATGTTAACGGTAGTAGTTGAACGTGTCTGATTTATATTTGACCTCGGGTCGCGACTGCGAATCATGCATTCTTCTATGGCAAAAATGTTACGGGCTCCTATCACCACTAGAAATGACGTCCGCCGTCGAGGTTGTAGTTGTTGATGTCATAGTTACTAATATAGTAGTTGTAGCTCAAGTTGTTTTCATCGTCAATGTTGTAGTTGGCATAGTTGGGTTCTGTCGTCGACGTTGCCAAATCCTCGAAAAAGAATGCCCACCGCCCGCGGAAATCTAACCCAGGTCTGCCGCGTGCGAGGCGGAGGCGTTGCGGCAGAGCTACGCTACGGTGTTAACAACCCACTCTATATTTCGGGTTTTCGTAGTATACCAAACTCTCACTGCTAACAAAATCTGGAAAAAAACACAAAAAAACCTATAACAAATAGTTGTTATAGCAACGTGAATGCTAACTACTCATGCCAGGAAAAGCACTTTCACATGTTTTGGAGCAAGAAACAAAAAAAAAGTGTTCCGGCCAATACGGTCAGACGTCTATCTTGTTCCGAACGTTTTTGTTCACGCACCCAATGGCGCGCACACGCGACGCCGACGAACTTTGCCACGACTCATCGCAGCCACTGCTGGGACCTTACCATGGGCTAACGCGGGACTGCTAGACATTTTTTTCCCCTCTGAGGCAATCGCACGACGATCACAAGGCACTTGCAAAGTGTCGGGAGAAAGACGCAGATTCCACGACGCGGCTTCCGGGCAACTCCCATCAGCCTTCCTCCAAAAGCGCCTTTTCGTAGTAAGACGGACAGCGCCGGGCCCGGTCGCCTGCGGACGGGAGCGGTTCACATACCTGGAATCCAGCGATGGCCGTCTCAATGTCCAGCAGGGACTCGGACCGGTAGTGGGACGGAATGCTCATGCTCCCCATCAGCCTGTGGGAACGGAGAGGTGGGCGTCAACACGGCCCGTCACACCCGTTCGTTTACAATGCAAATAAAACAGTGCAAATAGGGAAAAAACTTCCGTCTTACCTGCTCGTCCTATTTGCGCTATCTCATTTGTATCGAAACACACACCAACTAGCCCCGCAACATAATTTTTTATACTCATGGACACCTTTCTGTGGCTATGCAGTCAAAGCTACGGGCACACGTGCGCTCTGGCCCGCTTCGGACGAGGCAATTTTTTCCATCACAATGCAAACGTAACAACTCATAAATCTCAAATTGCTGCATTTTATCATCGTAATTGAGACTTTAATTGCGTTCCACTATTCAGACGCCGAGTTATGCGTTAATAACATGCTCTACATATCTTCAATGGCATTGAAAATACTATTTTATTTCCCTCAAACCATATAGTCACAGAAACTATCTATTTTAAACCTAGACAAAGCTAAATCCCCCGTTCAGTTATTGTCGCCGTGGGGGCGGTCACGTGAAAATACTGCGTCCCCGATTGGCTGCTGCTGCTTCGAAATTCTCCGAGTCGTTGGAGTTGCTTGCCCATTTCGAGCCAGGCTCAATTGCAGCAATTTGTGTCGCAGCGCGAGAATCTAGGGAACTGTAAGGAACGACTCGCCAGCAACCCCGAAATGGCCGGGAAAACTGCCCAGTCTGAAAGGGACCTTACACATCTTGAGTGCCCATCAAATCTGGGTCTAAGCACTTTTCACTTCTTCTGAAATGCCAGAGATAGTCGTCCGCAAGTACAGATTATGATTCGTATCCGCAGTTCCGAGCCGGAGGCAGAAACATGTCGCACGGTGATCAACCAGTCCTATTCTCTGCGGTGCATTTTTTCGTTCTCTTCTTTTGCTGCTTCCGAAGCCTGCCCCTCTGTCTCCAACTTCCGGCAAACAAGATTAAGTGGATTATCTGTCCCCAAGAGATGATCCTCTCTTCTTTTCTGTTAAGGGGGAAAAATGGGGAGTAGAAAAGGAGAACCAAGGCAGCACAACTTATAAAGGCAAAATGGTTACCTCGAAAACTAGCAAGCCAAAGTGGCAAAACCTTTACCTGGTCCCTTTAAAGTGATCCACCAAACACCAAACTCTTTTGAGCCAGCTCGGTTTACCAGCTAATGCAAGGTTAAACTCTTAAGCTGAAAGTGAGATAACAACAAGGAGTTTGAAGCCTCCCAATGGTGTCGCATATCCAAAAACTTCTTTTGGGTCAGAAGGGGGCTGTAGAGTCATAAACTCCCCTCCCCCGTGTACGCTCCAACAAAGAGTGTAATCTGGTTGGCAGGTGGAGAAGGGCTCAACTGCCAGAAGGACCCTCACGGCCAAACAATGGAACCTAGTAATTAGTAAGCATCTTGTGCGAATCAGTTGGCGCAAATGTGACATCGATTATTTTTCCCCATTTGGCTACGGTAGGGTATGCGAAACACCAAATGTTTCCACCCAAGCAAAAGGTTCCAAGTAGGCGAAGAAAAACAAGCAATCGTTTGTTCGTGACAACCTCTTGGGCAACTCAAAGAAAAAACTTTCAGCCTTTCCACTCTGGTGAAGAAAGAAGACCAACGAAGCTGTACTATGATGGGACGACCTCAAGGACAACTTCCTGGACGACCTCAAGGACGCCGCCTAGAGGACGACGTTTAGGACGACCTTAAGGACGACGTCTAGGACGACCTCAAGGATGACTGCTAGGACGATCTCGAGGACGACCTCAGGAACGACGTTTAGGATGACCCCAAGGACGACCTCAGGGGCGAGGTCTAGGACGACCTGAAGGACAAACTCAAGGGCGACCTCAAGGACGACTTTTAGGATGACCTCGAGGACAATGTCTAGGACGACCTCAAGGACGACTTCTAGGATGACCTCTAGGACGACCTCAAGGATGACTTCTGGGACAACCTCTCGGACAACCTCAAGGATGACCTCAAAGACGACCTCAAGGACGACGTCTAGGACGACCTCAAGGACGACTTCTAGGACGACCTCGAGGACGACATCTCGAGGACAGCCGGTTGTCTGGTTGCCGCCGTCACTCATAGATGGCAGTAGCTGTTCAGAGATTTGTGTCGACATTTGTTTGGTATCGGACACGATCCTCGGGAACCTAGCCCTTAACAGCTCCGCTGTAAAAAAATCCTGATGATTGAGCGTTAAAGGGACACTGACACCCCCCAAAATTTTTTTTCCATTTTTTGCCAGGCGCTTTATTATGGTGTCGGAAGACTACCCAATTAATATTTTGCAACAGAGTAGCGTATTTTTTTAATAAAGCCAAAAGACGCAACTGCTCAAAACCGAAACCGAAACCCGACGGAGGTCGGAGAAGTGGAGAGAAGAGAGTGAGTGGCGGAAGTCACGTGGCTACACCCGACCGTGCGTTTTTTGTTTTTTTTTCTGCTCTTCGTACTAGAAGACACGACATGCGGCGTACGGGAACTGTTCGCTGTGCGATTCTTTTGCAGTTATGTTTGTTCCGCTCGTTGTTCTGTACTCCAAGATGAGTTGTTTTGTACATTGAGGAGTTGGAGATGAGTAGTGAGTGCCCGTGGTGAATTTCCATGATCGGCTCCGAAAAGAATACACCCAAGGTGTTGCGTGAAGAGCTGGCTCACATGTCCTGCGTCCGAAAAAAAAAGGGGCATTGTGCGACAGAGTTTCCGAAAGATCAACGGGATCGGGACCAATGGCTGGCTGCAATTCCTGTAGAACATTTACGGGCACCTTGGAAAGCGGACGCTACCTGATTTATATGCTCCTTACATTTTGCATAAAGTGATTACATTGAGTTCACAAGTGTCAAAAAGGAAATCCCATACCATTTAATTCAGTGAAGTGTCGTCCACAACATTTGTTTGTTATTTTTTTGTTTGTTTCTTCAGTGATAATTGTAAAAAAAAAAAAAAAAGATATGTAAACATCAGAAAATGTTTGGAAAAAAAAAATAGTTTCACGGGGGATCGAACCCTGTCCTACCGCGTGTGTAACGGACGTCTTACCCACTGAGCTAATGAGGCATCTTTTGACTGGACGATCTCTTTCCTTAGTAATAATTCAATCGGTAAACTGTAAGTTCGAAAGTTTGCTGCCGATTTTCCTTTAGCAAAAGCACTCCCAGGTCGAAGTCGGGAAGCACCACGCATTGGCGACATTCACACCTAGTAAAGAAATCGTACGCGTGCATATTCAACTCAAAGTAGACACGTTGTGCTTGACGTTTGCGCGAGCGATGTCTTCAGCCACGAGAAGGGAGCGACGGCTTGGCGACGTCTTCGTGCAAATCGACTTGGTGGTCGGGCGTGTCGTACGGGATGAATACCAATTCTTTTGATCAGTCCCAAATTTCTCTTTTAAAGGTAGACAGAATTCGCTGGTACCGCGAACTACAGTTCTGAAATAGAGGTCCCACGCCTGGCCGTCTGCTGCCATCGCCGTCCCCGCGAGTCCCATGATACGCGAAACAACGAACGCACAGAATGCTTCCGGTTGTCTGTGGAACTTTTTTTTTCAATCAACGTATTTGCAGCTTTTTAGAAGCCACAAAAAAGGGTTTCATATTTTTTTCTATTTTTAATATTGAGTGTGTGCCTTCAGTGACCTACGACTTTGATTAAATTTGGTGGTCGCATCGATACCTTAGAAAACGGCCCGTGACCGCGGAAAAGAGAGTGAGCGAGACTCGAACCGGCCAGTTCTTGATCGGCGGTTTTCGGGTGGAAAGAAACCGAATTTCGAGCCGCAAATTCTGTTCTGGGTAGTTGAGCTCTCATATGTCACATACAACTAAAAACCTCGGCGAGCATAAACACCCTGTCAGTGTCCCTTTAAGGGCTGACTACATCGTGGTCTCCACATCATTCATTCTTCATTGGGATTTCAGCAGGGTGGGCTACAATGGGGTACACAGGGCTTTTTTTTTTAAGCTTAACAGATTTGTTTAAAGGAACACTGACAGGGTATTTATGATCGCTAAGGTTTTTATTTGTACATGACATAAGAGAGCCGAACAACCCAGAACACAATTGGCAGCTCGAAATTGGGTTTCCTTCCGCCCAAAAACCACCGAAAGAGAACTGGCCGGTTTTAGTCGCGCTCACTCTCTTCTTAGTGGTCACGTGCCATTTTCTAAGGTTTAGACACAACCACCAAATAAAATCAAAGTCGAGAATCATCGAAGGCACACACTCTATATTCAAACTAGAAAAGAAATATGATACTCATTTTTTGTTGCTTCTAAAAAGTTGCAAATATGTTGACTAAGAAAGAAAACGTTTCACAACCACGTGACTTCTGCCAACTCTCTCCTCCTCTATATTTCTTCTTGCTCCCCAGTCCCGTTTCGGTTTCGAGCAGTTCCATTTTTTCACTTTATTAAAAATGTATGTGACACTTTAGCAGAATATTGATTGGGTAGTCTTCCGACACTATAAAAATTGCTTGGTAAAAACTAAAACCAAAATTTTGGGGGGCGTCAGTGTCCCTTTAAAGGAAGTCACAAAAGATAAGTCAATGCAGTTTGTGAAGGTCAGTTATACGACCAGGAGGACATAGTATAAGGGGCTAATCGTAACGATCAGTCGGCTAATTAATGAAAATTCCTTAATTCATTTCTTAATTAATGAAAATAGACATATGGCTCCAATTAGAAATTTATTTGAGCGTCATCGAAAACCACTAAATAAGTAATTTTCAGAAATACTTCAAGAGCGTGGGAAGCGCGGTAGCACACCAAAGTCACCACTCGTGCAATAGGCACAGGGCTGAGACTATGATAAAAGACGAAAAAACTGTCCTCCTGATATGGTGGTTTTTGGTGACGCTCAGCAAGTTTCTAATTAGAACCGTATACTGATTTTTTTTTAGTTGACACATTTTAGTTAATTAGCCGACCGATCGTTACAGTTAGCCCCCTATACCATGTCCAGCCGGGACGCATAACTCAGCCGCACAAACTGCATTAGTGTATCTTTCACGGCTTTTTTTAATGCTGTTAAGGAGCTCGTGTTGCAAAAAAAGCCTGTCGGTGGCATGATGGGAAAATTCCGATCGGTCAATAGGGTCACGACGTCACAGCCACATGACCTTGCGCGGAAATTTCAAACAACCCACGACGCTCACGTGAAATGCGACGTTAGGCGCGAAATGAAAGTGATGAAAATGTGACACGTAATGCGAATTGATGCTCGCCGCATGTCTCAAATGACTTCACTTAAAAAGTAACTGATTTGCCTTAAAAAAATGTTTTTTAAAGAATTTTAGGTGGGATTTGAATTTACAACCTTTTGGTTGCAAGCCAGACACGCCACTGGCATGGCCACGCAAGGTATGTTTGCACGGCGAACAGGAAGGTGACGCGAACGTGGCCCAATAACGCTATCGCGCTCCGCCCTTAAAGGCGAAGCTTAAGTGTCCTCCAAGTTATTTTAAACATCCGTTAAGCTTAAAAAAAACACCCCGTATAATGGATTGGATTGGATAATGGACAGGATATGAGCAGAGTCAGCATTAGTTGATTAGGCCAGGGGTGCATCACCAACAGCCCAAAGACAACATCGCTATAGACACCGCCACGCTCGTTGCCTCTCCCACGCTTTGGCCGTGCGTGCATGCTCGCGGGGCGACGCTGTAATTGAAGGCAGAAAGCTTGTGCCGAGGGGCGGACGACCGCTAGTCCCCCCCCCTTGCCATTCTCCCTTTGTCAGGGACTGTAAGATTATTCTGATCACATACTATTCACACAGAAAAAAAAAAGCCGTTTGCAATTCCCTGTAACGCCGAATTAGAGTGCAGCTCTTGAGGAGGAGGAGGGAAGGATACTGGGGGGGGGTCAAGTGACCTTGGGGGGGTCACGTGACGATGCCGATGCCGATGCCGCCATCAGAAACGATGACGATGCGGATACCGATGACGGTATCAGTGACGTAACTGATGACGTCATCAGTGATGATGACGATGACGATGCGGATGCCAGTGACGTCATCAGTGACGTCACTCATGACGTCATCGGGGGGTCACGTGACCTCGGTGGGGTCACGTGACTTGGGGTGGCCTTGGGGGTCACGTGACCTTGGGGTGACCTTGGTTACGCCGACGCCAACGTTGCGGCGTTTTTTGTGAGATGCAACAGGTTGCATGCAACAGGTTGCATGCAGCCTGTTGCATCTTCTTAGAGCTGCATGCAACAGGTTGCACAGGATGTAACAGGTTGCATGCAACAGGTTGCATGCAACCTGTTTCATGCAACACGCGGTTACGTCGACGCGACGGCGACGCCCTAAGAGCTGCGCTCTAAAAGAATGCTCAAAACAGTCATTACTTGCACGAAAAGGACTTACTTTAGTTGTGTGCAGTGCATGCGAAGGCAACGCCAGGCAAAAAGAGAAAGGCAAGCACTAGAAAGGCGGGAGGGGAGAGGAGGCTAAGGGAGGGCAAAGGAAGAAAGGAAGCGCACTAGGAATGTTAGAGAGGAGATTTCTCTCCTCCTCCTCAACCTTCCTTGTGCTTTCCCTCTCTCCTTTCGCCTGGCATTGCCTTCGCCTGTATTGTGCACTAGTGACATGGAGTCTAGCAGCCTAGCCTAGTCTAGCCTCCTCGCCACCACTCCCCAAAGAAAGAGCAGTCCAGACAGGTCTATTTTAATGTAACCGATATTATAAATCTTGCTGAGAACGATTTCTTCGAGTAAACGGCGGTAGCTCTAGCTAAAAGCTTAGTACAGAAGGGCCTTGGATGTGGTCGTCAATAAAGTGAGCGCCTCTTTGCGCGTGGATGTCACGTTACTTGGGTGTTGCGTCCTCCTTAAGTTGTCCGTGGCATTCCCGTTTGGTAGGACGAACGTTCCGAAGCAAAAATTCACCCACCCGGGCGAGGCGAGCCGCTGTCCGTTGTGGATCCGGTAGCAGCATCGAAGGTCGTCGGGGAAGCGGACCCCCAGCTTCCGCTCCGCCTCGTCCAGCTTTTCTTCCGTCGTTCCGGCTGCACGATCGAAATTCGTTGGGGTCTCATGGCATAAGAACTGGCTGCATGAAGATGAAGGCCCCTTCACACCCACATACGGGGATAATTGGTGCCATAGATGCGGCACTGATATTGCACTGCGTCGACGCTGCCTCCGACCCCGGCTTTTCCGGCGTGCATGCATGCAATGCCATCTCGGCGCTGAGTCAGCAATGTCAGTGTAGCGCATATTGGAGTGCCGACTTTGTTTTATCTAAGCACTGTCCCGTACGTGTGAAATGGCCTCGATGGCGTCGCACGCGGGGAACTTAGGCACCTGCGCGGTTTCAATTTGGGACGGCGGATGGACGTGTTTATCTGTGATCTAATGTTCCCAGTGTCTGTACTGATTGATGGCAAATCTTAGTTCTGTTCTTTTAGCGGTGCTTTTTATGCATTTTTTGGTGACGCTGGATCCAAAAAATCACCCCACCTGTACAATGGCCATAAGGGGGCCTTCGCACGCTATATCGAAGCAAACGCCTCGATAGGCATGTCTTTTCGGGTACCGTAGTTACGAGTTGAGACTTTGGAGTACACTGATTATACCAGCGAGCAAAGTGAGTACAAAATTATGGTTGTCAGACTATTATTACTTGAGATCATACATTATAGATTGGGAACAATAAAAAAAACACACACCAAGAAACAATATTTGAGACCTACCCAGTAGTCCTTTCCATCTCTTAAGCCTCGTGAACCCACGACATATTTTTATTCTTGTATTTTGTTTATTTGAAAAGCACTGCCAGCAGTGCGACCCAAACAGTGGGGTAGGCACGTTGGACGTAAGAGCACTCTCAAGTATTAAAAATATTATCGAGAAAAGCAGACACATTCATACTCTTTCCAGGAATCGTTGGCAGACAGTTCCATTTGTCGATACATTATGCAAAGAAAATAATTCCTAAAGGGGTCAGTGTTAAGGAAACAAGGTATAATGAATTTGTTGCGTTCTTGCTCCATTGCGTTCTTGCTCCACACCTAACATATTTGTGACTATTATTAAAGACATGACAATGTAACGAGTGAAAGAAATACCTTCGACTCATCCCGGTACTTATAGGAAAGACATGTGTGGGCAGAATGTGCAGGATGGTTGGAACACCAACGACTGTGGATCGAGGTTCGACAGCAGCGAGATTAACCTAGACCCACAGATGGTGTCGACAGTTACTTGGTTAACTGACTGGTCAAGAACTAGAGGGCTGAAAGCGGTGGACAAAGTGAGCGACGCCTGGCAGACTGCTCCAAAAAATCTTGGTAACCCGGAGATTCATCTTGGTTCTGTATCCAGGCATCTTTGAGTCATCTGAGGCCAACAATGCTGCAGAACAACTCAGTTGGGGAACTACAGTGCAATCCACTTCTAACGATACCAGATATAGTGATGTCCTGCTTACAACGATCAGTTTATAGAGATTTTAGACTGGAAATGATCAGTTTCTAGTCCAGATACAACGATAATCAGTCATATTGATTGAATTTTCGGGTTTTCTAATGATTGTTATAAGTGCCGATGCTGCTCACAGGTGCTGCTTCTAGTGCCATATAAACCCCTCCCCCTTCTCTCCCCCAATGGTTCAACCAACATCTCTAGAATGGCTCCAGTGAATCTTGCACCGTAAAGGGTTCCGGAAAGATTAATGCCTGCACATAGAAAGCTCAAACTTTCACTAAATGGGCTTTGATACGGTGCATTTTAGGTGCCGCAATTTAAAAGCACAACTCCCTTTCAGCAAAAAACGAGACCAGCAGACTTGCCAGGGTCGGACGCGAACGCGTTTGCAGACGACCGAGTTGGCCACGTTTCCAACGCGTGGCGCCATTTCCCGATGGCCGCGGAAAGCGAACAACAGAGCACTCGAACCGGTCGCTGCGTCTTCCGGGAGACGGCGCCATGTGTTACGGGCGTCGCTAGCTCGGTCGTTTGCGGACCCGTCCGCCATCGACGCTGGCAAGTTTGCTGGTCTCGTTTTCAACTGTAAGAGAGCTGTGCCTTAATATTTCACCAGCTAAAATGCACCAGCCCCAAGCGCATCTGGCAACAGTTTAGGCTTTCTATGCGCGAGCGTGGGTTTTCCAGCCTGTTTTCCAGTGCGAGATTCACTGGAGCCGCCCTATACGTTGCCTGCTGGAAGTCGGAGCGGGGCACAGACCAGACACGAGTGCTGCGTTAACGTTTGTACATGGGTGCCAATGTTAGGCTGGAACTCATGACCAAATGCTGAAGCAGCACCCGTGCCCAATCTTTGTCCCGTTCTGGCCACCGATAGACCACACGGCGCTCGACCAGCGCTGTTGGCCTTTACTCAATAAAAATGACCAGTTCTAGATGGCAAGATGCCGTAGTAAACTCGCAGCAATAGAAATAAGCAGGCACTGTTATCTCTTGGGGGGGGGGGGGGCAGCATCCTCGGGTCCTTATTGTGTCCGTAATATTTGACCAAGGGAAATAATTATATTACGCGGAGATTTTAAACGTTACTATTATTGGTCTTCTTAGGCGTCAAACCTCGGGGTATACGAGATGTAAGACAGCAATTATTATTTGAAAACAAGGTCCGACAGCACCCCCTGGCGCTGCCCGCCCACGAGTGTAATTTCGGGTTTTTTAGGATGCTTAGAGCCCGTAGATTGAGTTATTGCCATACATATACAATCTAGAAATCCACCAGAGGTTTCCTAAACCAAATTTTGATGGCAACAAAAAAAGGAAAGAAAAGCTAAGAGAAGTCTATTATAACGTTCAGAAAGCTGTACTTTAGATGGTGCCAGCATGTCGAAAATAATTTATTCCAGAAAAAATATGAAAAAATCTGCCAGCTTTTTAAAAAAGCAAATGACTAAAAAAAAAGTTACATGTTTTACTGGGTAGTTTTTTTTTAAAGCTAAATAGCTGTAAACGACTAAATTTTTGCGAATTTCGCAAATCTCCTAAAATTTGCGAAAAATATGACCCGCAAACAATTCGGGCAATATGTGAACGCTACGGAAGCTACACTCGATTCGCGAAAATTAGAACCCGCGAATAATTTCAAATTTTCAGCTTTGAATTAATTCGCGAAAATTTGAGCCCGCGAAAATTAAGTCGTTTACAGTATTTAGGGGGTGTGGACTATCTACAGGAGTGAACCATACAAGGATTTGTTTTGCCTTTTTTTTTATGACTGTTAGTTACGAGAGATGTGATGGATTTTCCGAACGTCAGAGTATACGTTAATGAGCATTTCTGCATACCATAAAATATTGAGCATCCGCCCATTCCATAATAAGCGCCCACCCCCAACTTTTGCCAACATCCGATAAAATATGCACAGTACATATATAGGTAAAATTGATGACCTAACAAGTGCCCATTGCCCAATTTTCGCGATTATCTTCATATTTTGAGTGGGAGCTTGCTCACCATTTTACGGTAGTAATACGAGCTTCTTTACCCACCAATAAAGCAGGCATTTCTTGAGGTGAGCCACATACGAGAGTTTCTTGTTCGCAGACTATTCATTGGGTGCGGACTATGTAAACTATGCCTCGAGCGTAACCCATCCATGGAAAAACTTTTTCTTTTTTTGGCCGACCTTTGTCTTTTTGGACTACACACCGGGTGCAGAAAATAATACAAAATATACACTATCTATACTTTGTTTCACTGGAACCTGGCAAAGAGTGAACGCTACTACCCCCCGAGCAAAATGGAGCGACAGAGGCGAAGCATGTGACAGCCCATACCAAAGCTACAGGGGCCAGAGTGTAACCCAAGCAGTAAGAGAAGAGGGGAAGGAGGGACTTCCCTCTTACTTGAACCCCCTTTTTGTGTTTCAGAGGTCGCTTTTCTATCCGGACGATTAGCCGGTCGCTTGAAATTCGTACACAAGCAGCTCTCCTCTCCCTCTTACTTGAAAGAACTGTGCTGTCTGTCCTTGTCCTTAAGTGTTTTTATTCTTTCTTTGACTCCCGTATTTTCACCAACACGCTCTTTCATCTTTGTCTCCTCTCCCTTCTGCCCATAGCTTCGACAGCGCTGCGCGCAACTACCTTAACATTCCGGGATGCCCCAACCCTAAAAGATAGCCCGCCCGCTGTTTTCGGCACGACTTGCTATTTTCTTTGAAACAGCAAAAGATAGCCCACCCCTAGTAATTGTAGCGTTTGGATCGACGACGGCCTCGGCGTAAATGCGGCTAGGTACCCATAGAGGGATATAAGCGAACATCGCTGAATAGGAAGCACGGTCATCTTTGCTTCCTTGTCCCTCGCAGGCACAACAAGTTTGGCAGGAAAACATTATCTGGAAATAGAGTTTCTTCTGACTTTTCTCGGTTGTACGCTGAAAGTTATCCCACTCCCTATTTCCCCTTGCTCTCGACGTTAGGCGGACCATCTTTTGGGATATTACGTTTGCAAGATAGAAGGTAGTTGGGTGTCTCTGTCCGACCTTCGCTGTTTGCCGAGTTGGGGTGAGACGGAACGTAGGGGGCGCTGGTGCCAGGCGCCGTACCCGGGGGAGAGGGGAGAGCGGGAATGAGGAAAAGAAAGACGCCGCTCCCAGGCACTGGCGCCGCACTCACTACCTTTGATGGACTGGGCGATGACGGGGCAGTACTGGGACATGAAACGGCCAATCTTCTCCCAGGCCGCCTTCATCTGGGCGTAGCAGTGCACGTAGCGCCGCAGGTCTCCATGCAGCGCCCGGAAGTGGCTGCGCCATGTTGCACCAGGAGGCAGCCTGCAAGGAAACCGCGTGCGCACAGCCGTTGGAAGCACCAACGTTGTCGTGCGAGTGCCGACTGATGTGAACCACTTAACTGCCAAGAAAACATTCATTTTTTAGAGTGCAGATGCATCACAAATAGACTTTCCCTGGGGAAAAAAAAAAAGAATTTATACTATTGCAATATTTATTTTGCAAGAATCGTTTTGACTTGGAAGCGATTGCAAAACACGTTTCTATATACTTCTAGGCATCGATCCTGAAATAGATGCATGTTTTGGAATAGGTATCCAATGTATCCTCCAACGTAAATGCTCCGATAAACATTTTATGATTGGGGAAGGAGGCAAAGTAAATTTGTTTTTAATCTACTTCAGTTTGTTCAGATAGTATGTTTATATGCAGCATCAAAGCAAAAACCAGATGACCTGACAAGGCCTTGATGCCATTGTAAAACAGAAATATAACAATTACCGTAATATCCCGAGTCATCGCCCATCCCCGAGCCATCGCCCACCCCATTTTTTGGGCCAATATCTGTTTCCCAAAAAAACACCGAGTCATCGCCCACCCCTTCAAATACCCCGGCGCGGACTCTGCGATCCGCGAACACTCATCCTACCCGAATGACGCGGCTGCGGACCTTACAGTTCGAGGACATCCGTGACAAAGTAAAACAAAGGAGGGAAAGACACTTCTTTTTGTTTAACTCCGTGAGCGACCCCAAAGTGGTCGTGTATTCGTGCGAAAAGTAAACGATGGAGATAACAAAATAAGAGTTTGTTAATGTAACCGCGGAGTATTAGGTCAAAGTCTGTCTCCGCCGAAGTAAGGTCACCGCGAACCCGCTCCCTTCTTCCCGCCCGTCGCGACCGCGGTTGTGCAATATTTTAGGCAAAGCCAACGCGTAAATAAAGCTTCGCTGGAACGCCCTACACAGACGTTTGCAGAGCGTCCCAACCGTGCATTGATAGCCCGCCGTGCACGGACGCACGTATGTACGCACCAAACAAGAAAGTTGCACAAGAGCTTGCAATTGACAAGGCGCCCGACTTGGCTTGACGCCAAAGTATTTGCCAACGCGACCGCCGGCTTTCCCGCTTTCCCAGCATTGCTCTTGGTCGCTTCTTTGGTCTGCTCGCTCGTTGCGCCTGGTCGGTTTTTCTATTTTCTTGTAGACTTTTCTTTTTTTTTACTAACTAGAACATAGTGGTGACATTCTTTCACGGAACAAATGTTCGCGCTATATGGAGATCGGCGGTGTTTCTAGCGCGTACGCAAGCAACGGACTTCGCTATAGTAAAATATTCTTTCGTGAGCATTTTTTTCTATAAAACAATGAAACTAAATCGAGTTTTGAGTTTGATGTATCTCTTGCGCATCAGCGCTAGATACGCAGAGAAAAATAGGCGGTTTTTTCCGCTTTTTTTCAAGTGTTTGTGCTCACCCACCGAGACATGGCCCACCCCACTTTTTTAATGAATTTCAGCTGGTAGGGGGGTGGGCGATGACTCGGGATATTACGGTAACAATGACAAAATATTAAAAAGAAACACTCCAATTAAGTACACTATATATGTCGTGAAATCAGTATTTGAAAAATAGAACATAACGTATGTGTCCTACCAACTAGGCACTTATATTGGGAGTAAGGCGTTACTTTAAGAATGTCCGTTATTGGAATTCCAGCACACGCAAAACGCTGCTAAAGAGTTAAGAACAGAAGTTATTGGGGAGGTTTAGTAGATTGTTTCGATATCTCCGATAACAATACCCGATACCCCACCAGCGCCTTTGCACACGGAATAGTATTGTTTGCTGGATTTATTGAAATCATCTTCTAAAGCTCTATTATTTTGCTAATTACTTGGGGGAGGGGATCCATCTCTGTAGGAGTAACATGACACCACTGTGGCTGCTAAGAAGGTTTACTTTGATAAAACAGTGAAACGGGAGGGGAAACATTTCCTGCAGACATGGTTTTGGAAAATAAACTATTTGGTGGCCCATGACACAGTTTCTCGACTTTTCCAGAAATAGCCGTCAAGAAACACCTTCACATGGAAACATATTTCCATTCTAGTGGCTTGGGCAAACATACATTTATACCCATAAAAGAATTATTTGTGCAGCATAATCTGTCCCTGAGCAAAGGAACATCTAACTCCTCGATTCATGTTTGAAAGAGGTTTGACAGAAAAGACGCTGCATAGCACATCGTAAAGGGGAAAGACCAGCTTTCTGAAAACTGGAACAAAAGAACAATTCCACTGATTATTTGAGCTTGGTTTCACCTCAACAATTATAGCTAAAAACGTTCGGCTTCTCGCAGAATCCTGCCAACTTAATTTCCTCCTCTATGCGGTGAACTAAAATACATGTGTGTATGTGCATTTAAGATGATGTAATTTCTCATTTTATCAAAATGTACCCAATCCAAGTGGAGAAAGCGCAGCTTTTCCTCTCACAACCCAATCTTCTAAGAAACCCTGAGCAGTGTATCAACTGTGAAGAAAGCTTGGTTGTTCCTTGGGGTGACAATAAGGGCAAATACAGGATGTCCCCCCCAAAAATGTCTTCACAGGACTTGTCTCACTGCAAAAATAAACTATGAATCAACAAACACTCATTCCCCAGCCAGACGTAACGCTAGTGGTTCAAACCAGATGCCAAACTTCCAGAACTAATGGCGAATTCCACTGGTCGTTTTGGAGCGCGCCGGGATCGACTTTTCTGGAGCGAGCCTATTTCACTGGGCGATCGGGATTGAGACCGACACGTTTCACTGGTCGTTTTGGATTAGCTCCCGCTCCAGATCTTGATCTGGATCCGATGGCGAATTCCACTGGGCGTTTTGGAGCGCGCCGGATCCGGAATGGAGCTCACAATCCGAACGGGGTCGCGCCGGCGATGGATCCCCGTAGAACATGACCACTGCTCCGGCCTCCGGGATCGGCATTTGCCTTCACGTCATTCGACTGCCGGGGAATCCCCTTTCCGCGGCCGCCGCGGTCGTTTCGAAGACGTTTTCGCAATCGCGGTGCTAACACGTGTCAGACGCACGAGCGGCAGGAATGGCTCAGGAGCTTCTAGCAAAGATTGCCAAAATGCCCGTAGCGCAACCCCCCCCCCCCCCCCCCCAAAAAAAAAAAAAAAAAAAAAAAAACCTTCTCTTCTCCTTCCTGGAAAACGAACCGGCTGTCGAGCCAAGAGGTAAAGGCCCTGTCACACTGAGGGGACAGTTGGACAACTCTATCCGGCAACACGGGGAAGTTGCATCGCGGCGACCCTGTCACATCGCGGCAACAACAGTCGGGCAACATGTTGCTGCCGCCCGGCAACCGTGTTGCCCGATTTGTTGTCCGACAACCCTGTCACACCGTGCTGACGATGACGACAACACGGGGAACACTCCGCCATCGTGATTGCCTACCTTCGTTCGTGTGCGGCGCGGAATCGCTGGAAATGTGACTCTACAAAGTGCTAGTGCGTTCGAAGGGCCGGGAATTACCACGGTACGACATCAACCAGTGGCTGTAATTAGAAAACTTGACACGGGGAGTATTTTCCGCTCTTTATTTTATCGAGATGTTCTTCATTCGCTGACAAAGCAGATAGCCCTAACCGAGGAAAGTGACATCGCTGATATATGTTCGGCATTTACGCCACCGTATGAAGTGTTTCTGTCCGGTTCTTTCATGCTATTCCCATTTCTACTGTGAAATTGCGTTAGCACCGGCAGTACCCCAAACCGTCTTTTGTAACGTGGTGTTGAGCTGAACTGACAGTGCTTCAAAACTGCGACACCGACACCATCGGCCTTCAAAACAATTGGTGGAATAAATATTTTTCAACGCTGTCTACCTTTCTACCGCCTGCTATGTGATCGATTCATTCCCCCAAAACGCCCTGGGTATTTTTGAAACAAATCAGGTGTCTGGTAGCGGCTGGTTCCAAGTTCCAAGCATCAACGTTTTCGAGATCGCGGCGCTAACACGTGTTCGACGCACGAGCGGCAGGAATGGCTCAGGAGCGTCTAGCAATGATTGCCGGAATGCCCGTAGCGCGGCAAAACCTTCTCTTCTCCTTCCTGGAAAACGAACCGGCTGTCGAGCCAAGGGGTAAGCAAGCGGCCATTACCATTTCTTCTGAGGCGAGATCAGGCGAGATGCCCGCGAGAAAGGAAGTCACGTGTGTGCGCCGAGGGCTGACCCGGCTGGCTTCCGGTTGAATCCGCCGAAATCGGGGGAGCGACTTTTCTCGGATCGAGATCTGGAGCGGGAGCTAATCCAAAACGACCAGTGGAACAAGTTCGTCTCGATCCCGATCGCCCAGTGAAATAGGCTCGCTCCGGAAAAATCGATCCCGGCGCGCTCCAAAACGACCCGTGGAATTCACCACGAGAAAAGTCGCTGCCACGATTTCGGAGCCCTCGGCGCACACACGTGACTTCCTTTCTCGTGGGGCATCTCGCCTGATCTCGCCCATCTCGCCTCAGAAGAAGAAGAAGCACGTCGCGGGCTGGGCTTGGCTGGGCTCCTAGATTCTCTCGACATCAGAAGAATTCGTAATGGCCGCTTGCTTACCCATTGGCTCGACTGCCGGTTCGTTTTCCAGGAAAGGGAAGAGAAGGTATTTGCCGCGCTACGGGCATTCCGGCAATCGTTGCTAGAAGCGCCTGAGCCATTCCTGCCACTCGTGCGTCGAACACGTGTTAGCGCCGCGTAGCGAAAACGTCTTCGAAACGACCGCGGCGGCCGCGAAAAGGGGATTCCCGGGCAGTTGAACGACGGGAAGGCATCCGCCGATCCCGGAGCAGTGGTCATGTTCCACTGAGGATCCGTAGGCGGCGCGACCCCGTTCGGATCTTGTGCTCCAATCCGGATCTGGTCAACTGATCCCGGCGCGCTCCAAAACGCCCAGTGGAATTCGCCATAAGAGAGAGGCACACAAAAAGTTACGAGTGATTTTCTGGAATTTTCCATTGGGAAAATGGCTGCCGACAGAGTTCTCGAATACGTGGGGCAGAATGGCACCAGTTGCACCAGATGGATCCCATTTTTCCGTCAGTTTTCAGAAAATGATTCACAACTTCTGATTGAGATGACGGTTACTTCTGAAACTTTGGCATTTGGTCTGGACAGCTAGCGCCACAATTGGGCAGAGAAGGAGCGTTTGGCGACGCATAGCTTATTTTTGTAATAAAATGAACACTATACATTCTCTTTCTTTTTCTTTTCGTCAACACGCTGTACTGCGCTTACCGCTAATTCTCTAGCTTAAAAAAACCTAGGTTTTTTTTCACCCAAACCGATTACGTGGCACCAGCTGCAAACAGACTTCAAGGTAAACAGACACGGTCTAAACACAGCACCTGCTCCGAAAAGCACGCGCAGCAGCTGGAATTAAAGCGAGCATTCATATTTTAAAGGAGAAGCTCTATAGCAATTTAACATGTTTGCAACTACCACCAATAGCTGCCTGGCAGAAGTAGTAAGGGAGAGAGTCAGACTGAAACAGAACAATACAAACAATGAAAGTGACAACAATTTGCGAGGTCAATGGCGAAGGCAACAAAACAGTGCCAACGCAAATTCTCGAAGGGCAAGGAATTTGTGATGATAGCGGAATTTGTATTATTTGATACTACGCATGGAAATGTTACATTTTAAACAATTGCTCCCACAATAGGGCATTACAAAAGAACTGAGATGTTTTTAAAGTGTTCATCGAAATGTAATGAATTGCACACTTGTGGAATAGTAGACCACACTGTATAGAAAGTAACATACTTTCCGGATCATATTTCATGGACTATAAGTGTTTAAAAGCTGATAATTATTGCGGTGCAGACTATGCGAGGATTTGTTTTTCTAAGATTGTTTACCATGATGAGACATGACAGATTGTGTTAACAATGACTTTCGGATGACACAGGTTTTTCATGCATTAATAAAGAGGGCATTTTTACGGGTGTGCAGCGAATGAAAATATTTTACGTGCAAAGTATGCACAAGGTACAAACAATTTAAGGAGAAAACTAAATATCTTTTCTTTCAGTTAAAGTTTTCCACCATGCCAACCCATAAAATACAGCATTCACAGGTAGGCATACTTGTGCGTATCTTGTACTGTCAAAACTGTTTTTCTCTGAGAAATGAAAAGCTACTCACAACTCAAGCTGACAACTACATACAAATACCCCTTATAGTAGTTGGAGACTATAGTTTCGTGATGAAACTAACTCTCTTCCACACATAACCATATTCCTAGTTGGTAGTAATTTAAAATATGCAGATGATTGAACAGTACTTGATTGAATGAAACAAAGGCTACAGAGCCGCCGAAAGACAAAATCGATTTGAACTCTGGGACTCCTAATATACGGTGGGGCATGCTGACCATCCCACCTTGTCTTTCTGGCGTTCTGGAAGCAGACGCCACGGCATGGAACGTGGTACGACGCTTGCCAGCACGTGTGCTCCAGAATTCCTCTCACTGTAACGCAATTTGCTAGCTCATTCGTCGATATTTTCACTCTAAGCTTCCACCACCTGGCCGCACCTCTGTAGCAGATCTCAACCCAATACGTCGAGAAATCTATCCTTGCGGACCGTCTAAAGTGGATACGAAGCATTATAGCATGCGCGCTGCAGATGCGGTCTACATCTGCTCTCTCGCAGACAGCTTTTACCATTTCCAGAGGACGTAAAAGCGTCCCCCACGAATTCAGATAAAGCTTCAGATAACTGCCAACAATGATTTTATATGTGCAACAAGATGGCTGAAATGTCGCTCTGAGGCGTAGCTTGTTTCGTGGCTCCAGTGACCCGTGGAGGGACATGCAACTCGTGCAAAGCTAAGCGAGCGACGTGGAAATGAATTACGTACTCGGTTTCCAGCCAGTATTTCTTGCACAGGCCTTTCCAGTTAGCGTCGTGGGTACAGACGTCGCGCAAGCGTCTACTGACACGACTACACCTGAAAAGAAAGACAGGGTAAGCTTCACACACACCTCGCACGTTGCCGGGGGCACATAGCTTCAGCAAGCACCTCCCCTGCATGAGTGCCCGTGCATGCAGATTATTTCCAAGAGGTACGATCACGTGCCAGCCAGAGCCGTGTATTGAGAGAGTTTGGTCAATGGGAGGTGCGGGCAGAGTCAGGGTGTGCGGCAGAGTCGGAAAGAGGGCTTGGCATGCTCTCTTGACCAACCAGAAGCCGAAAAGAATCCCCTAGCGGTGGTAGTGGCAAACAGTTCTGATCAAAAGTCTATGTTCGTATATGGTTTTAATAAACGCGTAAGAGTGAAGTGTAGTAACTCTTCGTGGTTGAAAATAGGGTGCAAGTGCTGTTTTGATCATGATCATGCAAAAAGATGTAAGAAACGAATGCGCCGCGCAACCCTGTTTTGCGCGGACAGAGTGTGACTGTTCGGACGGCAGATTCCCGGCCCTGGGCGCTTGGCGTACGGATCATGTCGATCGTTCCGGTAGTCGCACCCTTCCACCTTCATTTTGGATTAATGTGATTGAAACATCACGTGTACCATATTTTCAGCCATTGAGAGTTACTCCAATGCAGTTATCAGGTTTGTTTCTCGCGACCACCGCCAGGGTATTATTTCCGGCTTCTGGTTGGTCACATTCGAATTTCTGAAGACGCCCTGGAACACGCCCAGCCCGCTTTTGGCCAATGGCGCCTCCTCATTCGTCTCCTATACTTCCCAACGAATGGCCAAACTCTCTACATTTACGGCTCTGGTGCCAGCGTCTCTGGTAGAAATGCGTGCAGCTTGTGAGAGCGGCCATGACACCATGACTTACCAATCACGAAACCGCTTAGTTGCACGGGTTATTAGTCTATTTAAAAATGACCTTACTGTTTAAACAACATTCTTGCAACTCCATTTTTTTTTTTTTTTTGCTAAAAGCTAGTTGAAATAGCTTTAACCTCACCCTTATTATCACGTAATGATCGTCCCTTACTTTATTATTATGGGGTTAGAAAAGGCACGACTTGTTAACTACAGCTAAAGCTGTGCTCAGACTAGAGCATCTGATGCACAGTAACATTAATCAGATGCCCTACGATGCAAGTCAAGCGGTACAAACAGCTTAGCGCCTGCGACTAACAAATTAGAAGACCACGCAGAAAAACTTAAAACGATGAAAATGCACGCAAGCTTGTAAACGTAATTAAACTTGAGGAAGAAAACGAGAAGTAAACGTAGTGCCGGACGCTGCAGTTGCGATTGGCGAGTGTTGCAGTGCGTTAGGAACCAGATAACAACTTTCAAAGTTCGGTGTCGTAAAAAAAAAGGATCGCTTCGCTTCACACACACGTCAATTCACGGATCTGAGGCTACACGAAGGCCAGTAAATTTGCCAAACTACAGCCCCACAACATAATCGTCTGCCAAGATGGACACCGTAGCAGACGCTCCTCGACAGCTATGTTCGGGGAGACCGTTCGCACCGACCGCGCTGAAAGCAAAAGTGACTCGTACCGCATCAGGTCATGGAAGTCCAAATAGGAGCATATGTTCACCAATATTTCACACGGCATATCCGCCAAGCTGATTCCATTTGAGCTCTTCCGAAATCCCACGACCTCCATGATTATGTTCCAAAACCTAACGTGGCCACCTCGCGGATAAAGAAGAAACCGGAAACAAAAACAAATGAAACATCACATGGAAGGAAGACAGGAAAATTCACTTTTATTAGCAAGGCAGTATTTAATGAGTGTAAGTGTATATTTCGAAACAGCCCTAACAACCAATAATGACTGCATTGGTCAGGAGAGAAGATTCACACGGGCTATCGACTCGCAGGTACGTGGCAAATACGTGGGCTCTGCCAACGCGCGAGGCGCGACAGGAAAATAAAATAATAAAGCTCTAAAAATATTCTCCAAGGCCTCCAAGGACTGCCACTTATCAGCGCAAGAGACCAAACAGACGCCCCACCCGCGAGGTTGTTTTGTTTTTTGATTGCTTCGGCTTCACTTGTGTTGCACTTTCAACTCGCTACAGCTCAGGGACCAAGGCAAGCTGAGAAGTTGCGACCGTCCTGTAACTAAAGAAAGCTAAACGGGGCTCTGCTAATTTTCGGCGAATGGTCGTGCTGGCTTGAAACCGTAACGACTTCCACATCCACTTTGCGCCAAAGCGAAACAATCGTTTTGTTTCGTAAAAGAACTATGGGCCAAGAGTCGCCACCCGTCGTCGCCTTTTCACTCGTAGCTTTAGTACTTTTTCAGCAACAATACTGTAAAAAAAAAATAAAAGTGATTTTAAAATTTCTTGACAAGACCTGTTTCTAAGCCGTACATCATACCTTCATTATCCCTTTTTTCCCCCCTTCTAGATCGTGTACTAGGCTTTCTGGTACGGGCTTTCGGCCTTTCTTGTACGGCCTGACCGTCTTGGGTCGAAATAAAAATTATTATTATTAAAGTTTTGCAAACACAGCCACAGCAAGCAAACACAGGTGAAAGGAGCCACGGTAATCAAAAAGCAGGGAAATCGCCATGTTTATGCTCAACAGTGCACGCAATGCACAGAACGCGAAGACACACACTAATATTTGCTTTGTCTGTTCATTTGAAAAAGATCAATACAGTTTTTAATAAACCTTAACAAAGCACAGTCCGATTAACACTGCCACTTAGTTCATTAAAGAAAAGAAACAAGCAACCCACAACCCCCGCAACGGAGCGCGCCGAGCGCGCGGACACCCTGCCCTCCAAGCTATCCAGTGACCCGGACGAGCCGGACTGGCCGGACCTAGAGTCGCTAGAGTGCTCTAGCCGGACCACAGTGGGCCGGACCACAGCCGGACGCCGGACGGACCCAGCCAACCCAGACCCAGCCCACCCAGCCGTCAAACAACCGGCTGACCTTCCCGGTTTCCGGCAAGCGAAACAGGTGGAGGGTTCAACGTTCAACGGTTTAGCAAGGCCGCTGCGCCAGTGAGTACGAGTCGGTTGATGCGTGAGGGCCACAAAATGTCCCTCGTCATCCTGCTGAGCGGAATCGGCGCTGCCGTGGCGGCAGCCCTCATCTTTCGGTACATGCGAAGCCGCGCCGAAGCGCTTCGGCTCCTGCTCGATCCCGACACCAAATACACGGTGCCGCTGATCGAGAAAGAAGAGATCAGCCACGACACCCGACGTTTCCGCTTCGGTCTTCCGTCGCCCGAGTACGTCTTGGGACTGCCCACCGGTCAACACATCTATTTGGTGGCCACGGTGAACGGACAGCTCGTGCCGAGGCCCTACACGCCCGTGACCAGCGACCAGCACCACGGTTACTTCGACCTCGTAGTCAAGGTAAGTTGGCCGACTCCGATATGGCGACGTTTTTCATTGTTTCCTCTAACTTTTCTTTTTCCTCCCCTTTTCGCCGCGTACGTACGTAGTTCCTTAGAAGGGGTTGACGCATAGCGCCAAAGGTAAGAAAGCGAGACTCAATTTGCTATTGACGGTGAGTCCGTTTTTGCCCGTTGAGATGCGCTGTGACAGGTAGGGCCGTTCAATGAATGGGTTGTTGGAATCGGCTGTGACGAATAGCGCCGTTCAATGAATGGGTTAATGGCGAAATTTCCGCCTATCCGATGTCAATTACAGATTTTTGCGCTAGTGTCACTTTGGATGTTCTGAAGACACTGAAGTCGTGTCTCGTTAAAATGGAGAGCTCTGTCTCCCCCCAAAAATCGTACATAACGAGACAGAAATGCGCGCATTTATCCAGTTTGTCCCTAAAACGTTTCAGGGACAAACTACGAGTCCGTATTAACGATATAGGATATCATCTCGCCTCAATCACAGTCGCTGCATCAAACGTACAACAGTCACAACACTAGCCTTTAGTACCTCGTTTTCCCCACTCCCCGAGGAAATAGTACTTATTTCAGAACCATCCATTTTCTGCCTGTCACTCACCTTGCACCTCTGCTAACCACCACTGTCCTACCAGATTATCAGTGAATTTCTTGGCTGGTTACTTTTACTCTTAAACGAATCGAGAGTCTGCTGATACATTCTTTGAGAACAAAGGAAAGTTCCCTGAGTGCAATCTCAGGACTCCACGTGTTTGAAACTAGAAAGCGAACCCTCCTTTTCTTAGCCTACTCCTGCAGTGTTTGGCCTTATACTTCTCTCCTAAGAATGACAATTGTCATAATGGTTTGGTGCTTTGAGGAGCGACATTTGTCTGGCAAAACTACGAGAGTTCCCTCCTGGCTTTTCAAACTCATCCTGTTGCCATTGTCATGCTGAGAATACTGGCTGGTACTTTTCCACCACATTCCTCGTTTCGATAAAGAGTAAACAGTCCAGTGTTGTGAGCACTCTTCTCAGTGAGCTCTCTTTCCAGTGTGACAACAAGATCCTTAGATATAATTATGAAAGAGTAGAACGAGCATTGGTGCTCGTCCTGCTCTGTGACCTCCGGCTGTAGATATTCATGCAGCCGCATTTTGCAGCGTACAGTGGCGTACCAACTTGTTTTTGAGTGGGGGGGCAAACCAGACACCCCCCCCCCCCCCCCCCCCCCTCAGGGCTGTAAGGCAGTGCCTTTGGTATCCCTTGGGTGCCGCCGGCCAGTGTTTGCCCTTTGCAGTGTGGCTGTTTCAGGGGGGGCAAACCCCCCCACCCTGAGAACTGAGGGTGCAAGTGCCCCCCTTGCCCCCCCGTTGGTACGCCCATGGCAGCGTACATTTCAAACGAAAGGCCAGATCGGATGCGTATTGGTTCCGGTTGGCATACACCTATATACAAGCTGCACCTTCCCTGTCCTGAGAAGTGTGTGCATATCTTGACCAGCATTCAGTGTGCTTGGAATAGGGGCTGATGAAAATGGGACCTATTTCTAGTGTGCCCCGATCGTGACATAGGAGTGCTGGTTTTGGTCATGCACCAGTTATTCTCTGTTTACAGCCGGTGCATTTTGAATGTTGGCATGCTCACTAATCATTTTCCATTTGTTTTACTTTGCAGAGAAGCGATTTTCACTAGTTTTTTACAGTCGTTTCTCTGTTTGTTTACTTGTGTGTACCTCCTGCCTGCTTGCAGGCAGCTAACCATTGTGGTGGTGTGAGGAACAGTCAAGCTGCACTCAGCAGCTCTTATTCTCAGACTGCATGCTAATGTAATTAGTTATAACTATTTTTATTATTAATATTAGTAGAACAATAGGTTGCAGAGAGGTATGCATCCCTAGTCGCACACTTCGACCTGGGAGTGTCTTTATGATGTCAAATTGTTCCAGGGATGTCCTGTGGACCCTCATAGGACATTGGTGTTACTTGGAGTGCTCATGTTATATGAATTCTAATTAAAAAAAAAAAAAGTACCATTGAAAGGTTTACCTCTAATGTTTTGTAAATCAGAAATCAGTTAACTTGTGAACTTAATAGCTGGGTGACACAGGCCACTACCCAATTAAAAGGGTTCAGCCATATCCTTCTGTCCATCCAGCAGTATACTTCTTGGTCTGTCTATTCATCTTGATGTTACTGGCTGTGATCATTGTTCCTTGCAGAGTTATTATAATGTATGCTAGAGGTTAAATTGGCGCTAGAGTGCTGCTGCAAATTGAAGCAGACAGTAACCAGTCGGAAATTGACTTCCGGTAATGCTTTTCTATGGGAAAAAACGAGTGCATTTTTTTTCTGCGCTCGATCATAAGAGCAAGTATCGCGAATAATTCATACATACTGGCACATTGGAACATTTCTCAGTCACGCAGACCAAATAAATAATCAGTTAAGGCATTTTTATTTGAAGTTCGTCGCATGAAAAAATGGCACTAAAACCACTTTGTACATGTATTTATGTGCAGTGTTGGACAATGTTAGCGCGAACATGGCGTTGACGCTTTCCAGCATGGAGTATATACATACGTGTCAAACGAACAAGGACATGTGGAAAACCGAGAGACGGCAAGAACTACAGAGTAACTCTGAATAAGTAAGTCCTTGTGCATGCAGGCGATCAAAATAAATTGAAAGTCACGTATTAAGTTTGAGTTGCAATAAATAAGTACTGCTTTATTCTTTCTGCTCATGAATATGTGCGAAGATGCTTGTTCTGGGTTCAAATCATCACCCGCACGCTCCAAATATTGAAAATAGAAGTCGGAGAACAGGTGCCCGATAAAAACTGCCCGACAAAGGAAATAATAAAAAGGCACACCTTTCGTAGCCCGCATACTTTATTTTTTACATCCGAGTGTTTTTTAACTGATCGTAAAGACGCACGACGGAGTCATTTTCATAGAGTGACAGGACGGACATATTAGCAATATGTAAGCACCACCGGAAGGCTAGCAAACCTTGAACACACTCTACATTCCTTTCGATCGTTAGTTTGCTTAGATTCGTCGCTCGTTTTTACATACCTGCCATGGAACAGAGGTTTGGGCCTGAAATATAGCGAAGTTTATTATCGTTGAGTGGTGAAGAAAAATGCTGTAATTAAAGCAATTACACTTTCAATATCTATAAAAGTACAGCTAGACTATCTGGTACAACCGAAATAACAAAAGTTATCCATGTTATTTTCCGGCAATGGGACAAAATGCCTGCGCGCTTTCCCATAGGAATGCACAGGAGCACCGCAAAGGTAGACTGGTTGCTGTCTGCTTCAATATGCCTCCCGGAAGTCGCATAGAAGCCAGCGCCAGTTGAATCTCTAGCGTACATTATAATAACTCTATGGTTCCTCGCTACTGCCACAATGCCTTAGAAACTGTTGCAACATTGTTATTGTGCTTTGCAGCCACCCGATTGTTGTGTTAGGTTAGGTTGCTCACAGCTTGTGTTGTGCTTTGAGGTCATTCCAGAGATGCATTAGAGAAGGGTCACCCACAATAAAACGCCACAAAAGGCCACCAAGTGAGAACATAAAAAAATTATGTATAAAAATATATATATGTTATTTATAAAAGTAAAATATAAGAGAAATCACTGACATTCAGCCACATATAACAACTTCTTTGCACTTTTCACAAAGCAATGACTTATTCGTTGCAACAACAGTATTGGTGACATTTGCTGTTAGCAATTGGAAAATGCTAGTGTTAGTGCAATAAACACCCTCTTGCCTCAAGCCCTGAAGTGCTACTTAACAGTGCGACTGTTAAGTAGCACTTAACAGTCGCACTGTTAAGTGCGACTGTTAAGTGCTACTTAACAGTCGCACTTAGTGCAATAAACACCCCCTTGCCTCAAGCCCTGAAGTGCTACTTTACAGTGCGACTAATAAGTTTTTCTGATTTCCCCGTAGTGATTTTCTTAAAAGGCACTGAAATTAATATCAAAGTTTAATTCCATAGTATCTCGAGCAATACTGGAGTAGTTTAGGTCAAACGTGAGATTCCTTGCCACCTAAATAAATGAATTAGTCCATAAATCAATTGTGGCATGTTTTCGACGGTGGAGAGAGAGGTGTGCACATGCAGTGGGTGGATAGTGATATTGGCCATGCCTTTATGTCGGGGGAGGGGAGGTAGCTTGTGCCACTTAGCCTAGAAACCGTATGTGACACCTGTCTCCTATGATTGCCTGCTTCGATGGCAGCTGTGAACTACTTTTCCTCGAGCAGTCAGCGGAAGGTTTGGTTTCGGTGGTTTCCACCGGTCTTCTCAAAATTGTGGTAAAAATTGGGGGGGGAGGAGGAGGGGAGAGGGGAATTGTTATATCACCCAGGAAAAGGAAAAGGAAATCGTGCATCGGTATGTGTACTTTGGTAACTTGTGCTCTGAGTAAACATATTGAAAAGGAATTGTCTCTTTATTTTCAAGGTGCCAGTTTTTTGCAAAAGATGGCATTTATAGGGTCCGCATTTCTTACCCCCGCTATTCCCAGCTGATCACACTCATTATCTGAAGCACTCTTTATGTGAACAAGCCAGAAAGGGCTATCTCTGGGTATCTGTTCGCCACAAATAATCCAGTTAATCAACCTTGTTGGATGTTTTTTTTTTTTTTTTTTTTTTTTTTATTCACAATATTTTGAGGGCTTATTAATTAAAGAGAAGCTGAAGAGGTTCTTGAAAAAAAAAATTGATAGAGGTGAAGTTTAAAGTATTTTTATCCCGTGAATTTGAATATCATGTTAGTTTTACCCGAAAATGTAACTAAACGTGAGAAAACACGAAAAACCTTCGACCAGTCGTTACATTATGAAAGGATGGGTCTTTGGGCCGCCAAGCGCGTTTTGCTCGTGTGGGCAGCTGATGCGATTGCAAGCTTACAAGGTATAAAAGACAGTGAATGTGCAGGCGAGCTGGTGATAACTAATCATGTCCTATAACACCTGAGACTGTGGTGGAAGAAATTGGAAACGTTTTAGTAGAAGGAACAGACACAGAGACGTCCCTTTCTGTGTCTGTTCCTTCTACTAAAAAGTTGCCAATTTCTTCCACCACTGTCTCAGGTGTTATACAGTGGAATCTCGTTAATTCAAACTAACATGCAGGTCCCATCCTATGCGTCTCTATGGGAGGAAACTCCCGGTAATTCAAACTTTGCTTTATTCAAACAAAATTTCGGTCCCCCTCGAGTTTGAATTAACGAGATTCGACTGTAGGACATGATTACTAGTTACCAGGTATATTTCCCCGAATTGACACCAGTCGTGACACCTTTTTCTGACCTTTCTGAATATAGCAAGGGTGCATGTTCATAGCTTTGAATAAAAGGTTAAAGAGCGCGAACAAATGGGGACAATAAAGAAACACGGACGACAGGACAAGAAGCCTGTCCTGTCATCCTTTATTGTCCCCGTTTGTTTGCGCTTTTTAACCTTTTATTCAGTAATGGACCAACTAGCCCAAACCGAAGTTTTAATGCATAGCTTTGACAGGCGCGGAAGTTGCGAAAGAGCGGAGATTCTGAAAACTCCCTTTATGACTTAACGCTCCGGGAAGCAGGGCTTCAGCGGTACTTTGAAGATTATTTTCTGCAGCCTCCGTGCACAAAATTGAAAAATAATTTCAATATTTGCGATCTTGGAGTTCAAATGAAGACAATTTGTGTTCTTACTCAAATAGAGAACCGCTTGAGCTTTTCTATAAGAGCATTGAGTAAGGGGGGACATTTAAACAGATACAGAAATTAAGAACGACAAATAGTAATACACAAAACTAACGTATTGGTGCCACTCATTTTTACATATAAAAGTCTACTGAACTATGCACAATGACTACATAATTATATATATATATATATATATGAGAGAAACCGACAATAATGTACTATTTGAACAAAGTAAGTGTAATTAGAAAAGAAATGCAGTAGATAGAAAAAAAAATACGAGGCAAGTTTTTCACGAAACAGTGTGGTGTCAATAATGGCGACCATGGATTCTGGCGGGTTGTTCATTGCATTCAGCATTGTGATTATGGGTCTTGGACAAAAGCCACTGCTTTCGTTTCCGAATTGGACTTCTCGGAGGAAGGTGGGGCTTTGTTTCACCACCCCTTGCAGGCGCAGGCAGACGGAATAGGATGGGAAAAAAAAAAACAAGCTTTCCAGCGACTACGCTCGGGAGTTCACTGACTTGAAGGTTTCTTTTTGCAAAGTTTTATCATGGGACAGTTAGTGTGACTAATGGCAGGGGCCCCAATGTCATTTGGCACAAGTAAGTTCTTGATAAATTTAGAACAGAGCGTCTGTTTAACCCTTCGACGGTCAAATTCTTTCCTTCAAAAGAATGTTTGTCGGTGGACAAGTTTTGTTTTCAAAGAAATAAAAAAAAGAAAATTCAAAGGAAAGGTATTTTATAAAATTGTTATTATCATCTAGCAGGAGCACGTGCAGTGCTTGCGAGCTGTTTATGCTTACAACCATCAAATGAAAATATTGAAGGTGAAAAGTTGTCACACCTTTCTTCCCTTTGGTTTCAGTGATGCGATTGTTGCGGCAATAGACTCACCCTGCAAAATGCTTCTGCAATTCACCAAAATGTGGCGAATTTTTGCCAATGCTCTGCCAAAAAGCTCATTTTGATCATTGACTACCTTTTAATAATTCAGGTTTCTGTGCATCGCCGGATAGTTCCTATGGTGCCTATTTTAGGCAATGTTTGATATTGGTGCAGATTATGTATGTACTGTTTGAGTGGACCTTCGTATCAAACACGACAGTTGTCTTTAGTTCTCCAAAATATGTAGCTCTAGTTGCTTAAAGTTTCGGCGGTTTTGCCAGCTCCGGCAAGTGGGCTTCTTAATAGACTTGATGCACTGCAAAGAAACCGCCATATTGTCACGAATGCCGAGGTGAAACAAAGAATGACCGAGGAAACTAAAATGTTTAATGGGGGGAACTTGTGCCCAAAACAAAAAGGAAACAAAAGATAATAACAGAGCGTCGCAAGTGTCGAAGTCGGCGTAGCAGCAGGATCAAACTCTGGGGCGAGACTGACTGTGGCTCTCCGCACGAAGCCCCTTATGTGCATGCGTTGGCTTCTGGAACAATCGGCGTGGAGGGTTCGGCATGTAGAGCATTCGAACCTCGTGGAGGCAACAGGGTTCTCGAATTCACCAGAATATTAAACTGAAAGAATAAATAAAAGACAGGTAACTCCCGGGAATCAAACTCTGGGCTTCCGCATGAAAGTCAAGCGCGGTAACCACTCGGCCACGCACGCACTTGCTTGTCGACGCGCTTGGCAATATTGTGGCCACAGCAATTCTGTGTGCTGTGCTTCGCTGCAACGGTGATTTGTGCTCGAAAAAGAACACCTTCCTAATGTGGAACTTAAAAAAAGAAAAATTTTGAATGTGGCGCATGTTCATATGATGATGCAACATCACACCGAAGTTGTTAAAGGAAGACCACAGTTATTATTCACTACTGCAATGTCTTGGATAGCGGCAGACGTCATTGGTGGGGTCTCGATTCTTAGAAAAAAATATTTGGGCATACTGAGAGGGTTGGTACCTATTCGACATATACATATCAATTAAAACATAGACTAGCTTTGACTGCGGATGAATTGAAAGTTACTTGCCAATAGACTAAACAATAATCTGGATTTTGTTTCACTAAACATGTTCATTGCCTACATAGATTTTGCAGAGCCATAAAGCCATCCACATGCAAAAAGTAATTGGTATGGTATAATAATAAAGGTTTGTTTAAGTGAAATAAAGTTCACTTTGTTATGGCAACATTTGGAATTTAAAAAAAAGATGCATCTGTTCCTAGAGGACAAAGGCATAGATATTGTAAGAATATTTTATTTCCATGTCTGGTACTTTTAAGCAGGCCAGGACTGCTAGTTCAGTGTCTGGGAGAATTATGTTGCAAGGAATCCATGAGTAGTTGCACAGCAGTGTGACAGCAAAAAGGGCTCTGTATCTTTACTTGACGGGCTGATTCTGGACTTTTTTTAACATGTTAATCACAGTAGACTGAATGTGAATGAAATTCACAGTTCTGCTCCAAAGGTTCTTTTTGCTGCTCCAAAAACAAACTTTTGGCCACTCCAAAAGGTGCTCCAAAATGACTCTAGCCAATCTCATCACTGGGTTTTACTTTGGTTTGTCCACTTCCGCGACATTCCAGAGGCTTCAGGTTCCTAACCGGAGGCACTTTACGGAGCTTCTCCGTCGGATGACGAGCTCATCCTCCAAATTTCATTCCGAAAAGCATTGGAAGTCTGAATCGGAAGAGTCAGTGCTCCCGTTGGCACTACTGCCAGAGCTGCTGGCACGCAAAGTAAGCATCATATGTGCAGAGTGTCTAATGTTAAAACCATAAATATCCCAGCAAAGTGAAACACTGTGCACGTATAACGGTATGATTGAATTGCAATTCAATGCAAAGGTGCAAGCAAGCTGGACAAGAATGACGAAAGTAATCCCTGGAGAAGGGGAACAAAAGGGACAAAGGACAAACACAAATCTCCAAACACAGCTAGGCAACACCTCCCACCGTGCGTGAGTTGTGGCATTTAGGAGGTCACTCTCATATCTGTAATCTGTACATGTACGGCGATAGAAACACCGTGCAGATATAATGTATACAGTTGTCGCCGTGTATGTAGGGCGACAACCATCAAAGGGTTAATCTTGGCCTTCTTGCCAAGTGTCGCCGCACCTTTTTGAAGCTTCGCCTCGTCGTCCTCTTCCAGCTCTATTTTCTTGCGACGGTACGGAGGTTGCGCGGAGTCGGTCGATTCAGCGCCTTTTGGGCATTCCATCGAGGACCCCTCAAATATTTTATGTGCTGTCCCTTTATTCCCTTTAACCCTTTGTTGTCAGACACCGTAAACGACTTCATGGTTGCTCTGATCAGAAAAAATTGCTTCGTAAAAATGGGTCGGGGGAAAGAAAACTTTTACACCTGCAGACAAAAGTAACATGAAAGATTTATTTTCGCGGTGCTTCTGCTTTTTTTGCGTTTTTCCAGCGGATTGGCAGTGTTTGATACTTTTCAAAGCATTCTCCAGGGTGGAGGCCACTGTCTCGTGCACTCGCTTAGTCTTTGTCGACAGCGTCACTGCAGTCGGCAGAGGATGTCCCTCGTTGTCGGAAGGAGGCACTGAGATTGTGATCGTCGAAAATGCTTTGTTGTGCCAGCGAAATTCAAAGCGTGCTCGAGTATTCCGCTCACAAACAGTTTTGCTTTCTACGGGAAGGACAAAAATAAGAGGATTGAAGCATTAAAGAAACTTTCCGAGAAGAAGTGTGGAAGTGCAAGTCCGGACGAGTGCGGGAGAGGGGCATCGAGCGACGCCCGACATCCGACCGGGAACGCGCTTCTTTGATATCGGCCCAACTCGCGACCACAAAGGTTAATTCTGTTCCCTTTAAAGAGTGGGCCTGACCCTCCCCTCACCCCTTCCCACAGGTGTACTTCAAGAACGTGCACCCCAAGTTCCCCGAGGGCGGCAAGATGTCCCAGCACTTGGACGCCATGCAGATTGGGGACACCATCCAGGTGCGGGGTCCGTCGGGGCTCATCCGCTACCAGGGCCGGGGCACCTTCGCCATTAAGCCGGACAAGAAGTCGGCCCCAGCCCCGTACCGGGCCGCCGAGATCGCCATGATCGCCGGCGGCACGGGCATCACTCCCATGCTGCAGGTGAAACGCACCCCTCACATGTTCCTCCAGGAATGCGACAGAATATTGCAAATGGAAATTCAAAGACAGATTGATCAATGAGCACAAAGTTGGTTTATGTCAGCTTGCCTCAATCAAAGGACATTTTCTCGTACTGTGCTGTTCTAGACAAGGTACCATGCAGAGTGCCATCTTGACCTCGCGCCCCGAGGTCACTCTTCTCAAGCGGCCTTGCTCGACTTTTTTCTTTTTTTTATCCGGAGCTGTAAGTTCCTTGTTTTCACAGGCGTCAGGTTAGAAGTTCATTAGTAATTTTGAGATCTTGGTGCCCGCCACAAAGTGCGAGGTAAATTGACAGAGATTCGCCATTCTCGGGTAATGAAGGCGAAAACCAAAACAAAGATTGCCTTGACAAAAATTCCCACATGCCGTCAACGGGGGACACCAGCCCAGTTAGCAGTGGCAGAGAGGAAGCTGAAACTGCGTAACCACTATACTCAAGTGTGGCTTTTAAAAGGGTTAAAGAGACTCCAAACTCGACCCAAAAAGGTCGAGTTTGGAGTCCCTTGTACGTCTTCCTTTCGTCGCGTGATCACACTCCTGACCATACTCACATGCGGAGAGCCGGGTCAGGCGACGAAAGTGAGAAGGCTGATTGGTCTGGTGTGCTGATAGTGTGGTGAGCCACCGCACTATCCGCTTAGGGGCGACCAGAATATAGGGTGTAGTTTGACTTTAGTTTGTTGGATCAGTCGAAAGAAATAAGCGCTGAAAGTCGAATCGACTGTCTGGCGTTTTGTTTAATCCTAATCACGCTGTCTTGTACGAGAATATCTGATTATACGAAAGTTGCAACAATCAAACGAAGAAAAAAAATTTTTTTTTTGTGCTGCCGTTGCTGTTTTTTTTTTATTTTTGGACCGATTTTATCTGCTGGTGTCATGCCCAGGCATAGGAGACACAACATGAATGCTGACTTTACCTTGGTGAGATAAACGCCACTTCATTATGCCAGAAACTATGGATAGAATATGGTGCGAACCACGGTGTGAGAAAGTTTCTTACGTTGGTGTGTGAACACGCACGCTGTTGTGCATGCAGTGCGCACAATGAAGTGCCTGTTTGTAAAAATATGTTGGGTTGGTTAGGTCGGTCTAGTTTGCAACAAAATAAAAAAACGCCTTCACTTTTTATTTTGGGAACATTGACGTCGCCCGAGGGTTTGAGCAGGAACGAAGACACATTTTATTGAGGGATGAAAGTCGTTGCGGACCACTTGTAGAGGAGTGCGTTATAAGAGATAGAATAGAGAAGCCTCTTCCTGCACGAACAGGGTCATAACCTTACTGCAAAACACCAAGCATGCACCCATGTCACAATGGGCGCCCACCACCTACCGTTGAAACGTTTTAGATATACCTATTCATGCGTGGATTATTGTACCGTGTAGTTATGTAAAACATCAAAATATTGTGCCAATCTCCCCCTATTAAGGACCTGGCACTTCAAGAAGCGGACAGAGCATAACAATCAACTTTTTCTGGAAATGCCTATAAGTAGTACCCATAGAAGCACGAAGCAGCAGGCAGTGACCTTGATATCTCGAATTGCCTTGCCACAAGTTCGCTCTTATCCGAAGAAGACATTGCCGGACTTGTTTAGATAAGTGCACAGATTGGGCGAGCCATGCATATCTAATCTGGCACTTGCCACAAGGCCCTTCTTGGGCCCAGCACTGGGGTTAGTTTCTTGGCAGACGAACAGGTTTAGCGCACCATCATTGGTGGCTTGTTTTCCCTTCAGAATGTGGAGAATGCATTGTTATGTTGCACTACATGGATTCTCAGCATACATCATTGTGGCGTTAGGAGCTACTGCATTTGTTTGCTGCGTAATTAGAAGTGTAGAGGCGTAGACGTTGGAACAATATGAAGACGGTGAGGTTGTGTTAGATATTTGCGAGTATAATAATCTCAAATTATTGAGTGAGACCGCTCAATAGGGATGCTTTGTTTGTTTATATTATTTCTTTAACGGTTAAATTGGTAGTTTTGTTTGTATTATACCTTTTTACCTTGTCTTTTGGTCGGCGTGGCTTGCTGGTGACAAGCAAGGTTAATAGGCAGATCCGTTTTTGTAGATAGAGGTATTCCCTGCTTTATTTTTCTGCATAAAGTTGCTTTTTGGGAATTCACGATTATTGAAAGGCGAAGGTAAGAATAGTAAAAATATGAACTTTTGTGATCCAAAATACCGTAAACTACTTATTTTTCACGGGCTCAATATTTCGCGATTTAGGTCAAAGCTGAAGTTTTGGAATAATCCGCGGGTTCCAATTTTCGCGACGCGGTGGGATCTCAATATAGATTCCAATGTGTTTAAATTTTAATTTTTTGCGAATTGTGGGCGATTTGCGAAAATTTGTTTTTTGCGAAAATTATGTTGTTCACAGTATGTAGTCTGTCAAAAAAAAAGGGGGGGGGGGGGGGGATCATCCTCCATTTTTATTTAATCGTGGCTGACACACAATGTTCTGTCTGTTTGAACCACCCTTCTTCTGATGTAGCGATGGCTCTCGGACAAAAACCGATATGTACCTGTGTGCCCCTCAGCTACTAGGCATTAGAACTGCCGAATAATAGATAACAGCGAGATAATGAACGACAGTCTCCGTCGTTTAAGAGGACGACCAGGTTTCTTGCTCGACCCAGCGTACGTGACCGTGGGGGCAAACAAAGGTCAATATTTGTTTCATAAAAAACCTGAGACAAGGAAAAATAGAAATGAATGACCACTCACGTCTCAAGTCTTGTGTGTGGCTGTATGTTTTTTATCGCTTTCTAGTCTCAGGTTTATTACAGATTTAGGTCCCCTGCTTGCCGATGTTCTTTTCCCTTTTATCAAAATTTGTGATGCACAGATGTGTCAGTCGCTTTTGAATGCTATTTCACTCTTGATCGCCACAATAATGAATATAAAAATGGCCTTTGAAATTCCCCGTTTTTGATGTCTGCTTGTGCAACAATGTAGTGCAATGATAGTTTATTTTTATTATGATGCTAATGTTAAATGAACGTCTGCCAGTTGAAACTTAAAATCAATATAAGCTAGTCTTGTCTCGACATTGCAAGAAGTTAATGTAAAGTGAGCCAGTTATGACAAGCATAGGAGGGAACTATGCACTGATTTGTTAAGTTTGCAGAATTTTGTTCGCTTCCAAAAGAATGACTGCAAACTCTAAACTCAAATTTTGTGAATTCTAGGCAAGAAAATATGAACATGCTTGTTTTTTTAAATGGGAAAATTATCATGGAAGAAGAAAAACTACAACATAGTCAATTTAAGGTGCAGTTGCACCGGAAGTAAACATTTACTTGCCTAATGTTATTGCTCGTACTTGTCTAACCGAGATTGCTAGAGAGAGTGGCTCTGCTGCAATTTGTAACAACATTAGCAGCAAGCGGTTGTGCAGTTTATACGTGCAAAGCACCAGTAGTGAAATGTAAACAAGTGCTGAAGAGTCAAGGTGGCAATATGGTCGAGTTGGTTCACTAGAAAGGGGCTAAATGCCCGTCCTGTTTAGTTTTTTTAATCTAAGAGCAATAAAGAACTAAACAAGATACGTGCTGAACTCTCAACTAAACATTTAATGAAAATGTTTAGAGTTTTGCACCTGTCCTGTGTCGTTCCTTGCTCTCTTTTCGTTTCTTTGTACGGCTGTTTACCCCTTTACAGTGGCTGAATGGTCAACAACTTTAATGCTTTTGAATTTTTATTTGTTGCATACATTTAGTGGCGTTTTTCCGGTGGGTGCTGAAAACAGAATAACCTTTGCTACGCAGTACGACTGTATACTAAATCAATTTGTTTCATGCCTTGCAATTTCTACCGAGCGTTTTAGTGGGCAACAAATTAGACGAACAGGTTTTCTTTATTTAAGGGATTTAAGGGCCATGCGTGTTCTTTTCTCTTCTGGTGGGCTGTGTAGAGGTGAGCAGATAGGTACTGCAGTCAGTGCTGCTTACAAAAGGGCATTCAACTCCAGTCAGGCAGTGCAGCTTCCTCTACCCTGTTGTCGATAGGATGCAGGTGTGGCGTGGAACTGCTCGTTGCACACTGGAACGTTGCAAGTTCGGTTCCTAGTCATGCCGGTTGACTGGCCCGCACTCGTGCAATTACCGCCGCGTGTTGCACATCAAAAGACCCTGGCTTAGCTGCCGTGATACGCTGGCCAAATCGTTCCATTACAGCAAAGCACAAGTTTCAGTACTGAGAAAAACGACTTTGTTTCACGGGCACAACATTTTGTCTTTGGGGGTAATGCGCTACGTGCAGTGATGTGATTGCTGTGCCACATACGCCAAACTGTGCCAATGAGCTTACCCCGCTGCATCTTGTTACATTTTGGCAAGATTTGAGGAATTTGCGCCAGCAAAGCGGCAAAACTTAATGTCACTAAAATGCTTAAAATATAGCTGAGGCTCTGCTACACGGCGAAATTGCTACGGTATGCTTGTGCGAATTTCCTGTACTTTTGATGAGAGCATCAAATATTGTACTATTTGATTTAATTTCTATCTAACAGTGAGAGTACTTGGAAGCTTCGCAATATTTGTCGTGTGCGTAATTTGTTCTGGCAGTTTAACTAGCTTCTTTGAGTGCGTTTCTTGATGTGCGCTGCAGTGAAGCGGCAGTATTGCGATTTTGTGTAGCTTTCTTCGCCACCGTGCACCCGCGTGATAAAGAGAAAGCAGCCTTCGAGGGTGGGACGTGTCATTTGATTGCTTGCTGTGGATATTATATGTAGTAGTATAATGGACTACAATATTTGGACGACATCTTTTTCAAATTCGAGATTTCGCGAGGATAATTGAGCATTGCCAATATTTTATGGACTGCGTTTTAGGTTTAATTTTTGTGCCAACTCTTGTTTAGATATTGCCTTTATATGGCTTCATATCTGTCCGATGGCACGGTCAAGAAAGTATGCTAAAATTAAATTATATAGAGCAATGGATGGG